ATGTGACAGGACAAGAAACTCATAACTCAGGCAAACTGCTCTTTGAGAGCGTCCACGACCCGGCATAAACATAAAGGAATAATGCTGAATCGTAACTTTTCCTGATAACTGATTCTGTTTCTGATTTGGATTCCAAAAGGCAAGGCAACAGTGATGCAAAGCCAATAAGTTATTTGGGAAAATCATAAGACTTGCAATAAGTAACATAAACCAGAAACGTTTATAGAGCTTTGTAAGACACATTTTCTTTTTGAAATATAAAAGTTTTCAAATTATCTTATCAAGGACACATTTCGTTTAACTGCATTCAAACTAAGATATAGATATTTTTCTAGGAAAATACATTGAAAAAAGCCAGAAATGCCAACACTGCTATACCATATTGACAGATATCTAGCAAACAGAGGAAAAAAGACAAGAAACGAGACAAGTAGCAAACTACAAAAAGAGAAATAATGAGAGCCATCTCCGATACGACTTCCACTTATGCTATGGCTATATGCCATGTTTCATGGAGCATGAGCAACAGTTTGTCTGGCCATCAGACATCCATCCACCCACGCCTTCATTTCCCATTTCCCAGCTACCATTCTCAACACTCAACGCTCCACGCTCCTTTTATAATCTTTTAAGGGCCGCTGTCTGTCGCGTCTTTTGTCTATTTGCCGCCTGCCCTTGGCTTTGTTTATTTTCACAAGCGTGTTGGTCCAAGTCCTAGTTCAAGTCGACGACCAAAGCCAAAACCAAGTCCAAGCCAAGTCCAAGTCCCTTGCCCCGAAACAAAGCATTTGGCTTTAAGACCCCATCCGACTCGCTTAACTTTCGTTTTCGGTTTCGATTTGGCAATAGTAGTTTTTTCTGTGTGAGCGGCGCCATCAGAATAATTGCATTCGATTCATCTTGTCGGGGATACTTGGTGGTGGTTAATGCCTCTTTGCCAATATCGAAGATATTCATTCAGAGAAGTGTCAAGGATATACAGAGAAAAATAAGTTCTAAGTTCTTGGCAAGATTCTTAATTCTGTTAAATAATTAAACAAGACTTGAAATAGGACTTGTTCCTCTAATGATTACGACAGCTCTCAAGTACTCAAGTTCTGTCGCATCCTTATCCTGCAACGGATGCTACGATGCTACGATGCATTTAATTTAATTAAACGAGCTCCCCTCAAGGGCTGCATAATTTACACTGACTTTTTGGTAGAATGCATCAACATAAATAACATTTAAATGCAATCATCATTTATGGCTGAGATTTGTTGCACACAGCACGCAGAGATGCTGCTAGATAGATTGCAATATAGCTCTTTCGTTGGCATCGTCAGCCACCACTGCGTATGCGTAATATTTGCCCAGATTTATGCAATACTATTTTCCGACTGAGCAAAAGATGCTACAGGAGAAGGAAGGAGGGAAGGAAGGAAGGAAGCGATATAAATACGAGATATGGTTATGGCCCGCTCATGCATGGCATGTGTGGAAACTTTTTGCGATTATTATGGGGCCTCTGGTTTTGACCTTGCATTTAGCGTTGCATGAAAATATTACGCATCACCCCTTGGCATTGCCACAAAAGTACTTATAACATGTGCCGCCACCCATCCCGCGATTCGTTTCAACAACTCGAGGCTCTCTGTACTCTATACTGTGCACTGCACGAAATGAATTATTGATCCATTTAAGGGGCTTGGCCCATTTCGCCTCTTAGTACACCATCACGTGCCTAGATAGCTGGGCTGATGAATGGCGCAAGGGATGCCCAGAGATGCTGTGGGTCTGGGTCCTCATTTTTATCGGACCTTTGGCAGACGCAGACTCCCAGGACTACTGAAAGAAATGAGCATATAAATCTTTGACCAGCGAATTCATTTGAATTCAGTCATTCAATGCTTGAACAAATGAGTGTGGAAAGAGTTCACTTGGCACTTCCACCCTGTGAACTGCAAACTTTTCACACAGGCTCAAAAAGTTTTACGAACAGGCTGTAAAATGTCTCCACTTCCTTTATCAAACCAAAAAAGGAAAAAAAGTTGACAATTTGTGCGACGCAGCGGCGGCACATGTGGCTCAAAACGTTCAACTTTGGGCACACAATTTGGGTTAAACAAAGGGAACTTATTATTATTATATGGAATTATGATTTTACGCTCCGACGCCCGGGGATTTTGGGAAGCCCAAGGTGGCCCATGTGGCGTATGCGTAATGCATTAAAGTTAAATGCCACACTTACGACCCGAAGTAAAATAAATAACAAGGCACGAGAGAAAGTTTTGCAGATCAAGGGATTTGCGAACTAATTAATTGAATGCTCAACAAATTACAAGGATATTTAGGACGCACAACTCCTTAGTCAATTAAATTAATTCAGTGAAATAAGAACTTCATAATTGTAAGCCTCAGCTGCTTGTCGAAAAATGTGAAAGTTTGGAGAGGATAAGGGAAAAATTAAAGTTTACTTGTGACTTAAGAAGCAAGCACAACTTTTAGAAACAAGGGAATTCATATTGTTCTCGGGTGGAAAACATTTACCAATTAAGAACAATGTCTTGTAATCTTTTAAATAAATTCAGATTTGTAGATATAAATACATATTTATTCTTTCTAAGCCATATGTGTGTATAGCACATGACCTGAAGTCAAGTGAAACGACACGTAAATGTTGTAGAATCAAGGGAATTCCAAAATAATTAATGGAATGCCCGACGAATTAAATGTTTCTGCATACTTGGTTAAGCTCATCTCCCGGCAATTAATTTAAATGATACTCAAAACCAAGGAGACAAGCCTCCGTGCAGCCACCAAATAAATATGTACAAGTGAAGTTTTTCTTGGCCAAAAGGACCCCGTGTCGCAGTTTGAGCCACTGGCACGTGGTCTGGCTTTTGGGGCTAAGACCGAGACCAATACCACAATGGACAATTACTGTCTCATCTGGGGCGGATCTGGCGGTGGCAGCTGGCACCGAAATTAATTAGCTGCCCGAACTTAACCGAAACCGAAAAGTTCAGACACTGCACAATGGACTCGAACTGAAATCGGTGGGGGGAAATATGGATTTGGGGTTCGACATTGGCATTGGCATTAGCATTAAGGAGTCTCTCTTAGAGATTAAAGTGCAGCCAAGACTCTTGACGGTGAATAAGCAACTATTCGAGTCCAAATTTATGGCATTCTTTGGTTCTGGTTTGTCTAAATGTGTCAACAATTCGACTGGCAATTAAAGCCAGCGGGCAAGTCAATAAATTGAGCGAATTATGACCTCGGCAGCTGCGAGAAATTCGCACATGCTGCTAATTGCTTCAAGCTGTTAACCCTCTACTGCCGTCCATAAATCGAAAGTTTCATTCTACATTGTGTCTTTGCTCTTTCTCTATCTGACTTTTGTGCAATTTCCTTGAGGGAAATTAGAAAACTTTGCGCTATCTGTACGCTTTCTTTTATTCTGTTTGCTATTTTCTATTTATTTTTTTTGTTTTTTTTTTTTGGGCATGTGCAAATATTTTCGCTGGCAAACCTTTTGTCCTGGACGCAGCCTTTGTGGACGCCGCCTCCATAGTTGACTTTTATTTATTGTGGGCCATAAAAAAAGCAGCAGGCAGACGGCTCCTGAAAGCGCAAAAGTTGAAAGAATGAAAACCGAAAAAAGGAATCTAGCACAGAATGCAAAAATTGTATACATTTGTTTGAGGTTTTCTGGTGGAATCTACTTTATGTTTGTCTCCCTTTGGCTCTCCCTCCACCTTCATGGTTGTTGCTTGTTTTTCTCGCATTTTCAGTGTAAATTCGAAATTTCACTTTGGAAAGTCGTCAGCGTGTGTGTAACACTTTTTACGACTTTTGCCGCATTTGTACAAATAATGTTCGCCATTCCCATTCCCTTTTATTGTTTATTTGTGTTCATTGACAACATACATACACGTTTCTTTTATGGGGAAGTTCCTTGACTCCAGATCCTTCTCGGTGAAAGTGCTCCCCTGTTGCCAGTTGAGTGTGGTCCTTGGATTGCACTTTTGTGGCCAGCATTGATCATAAAAAATGTTTGATAAATTTATGACCAAGTCGGGTGAAGAAGCCTAGCAAAGTTTCGGGCTCGAAATGCAGATGAGAGGCCAAGTCTGGTAAAAGTTTTAAGACACTTTTAGTGCGTATTACAGAGCCTGGCATAACTCCAATTAATTGCAAAAGTTTGCCCAAGGCTAGGAAAAAGGGGATACCTTCCGCTCACTTTGGGAATAGTTTCAAATATTTACACAGAGCACAAAAGTTTCAATTTTAACTTTACACCTTCTTAGTATTTCTTTCATTTTTTTAACCATTAGCATAAATATTTTTCTCAGTGCGCTTGGTTATTTAATTACAGCCTCGTGCCAAACTTTATTCAAATACTCATCTTTCCTTTAGCTTGTAGGTCCACTTAACTCATTTAAAACGAATTTAAATTCTCAGAGATGCGACCTTTCTTAATCTTGGCCAGGAATTTTCGTTTGTTCCCTTTTTTTCCACTTATTACTGGAGGGCCACCTACATCAATCAAATGGTACACAGCCAGAAGATTACACTAAATACAATTTGCAGGACATTAAGCACAATGTCCCCAAGGATATGCATGTGGATGTGGCTGTAGCGACCATTATGCTAATCAGATAAACCTTTTTCTCCTTTTGGTCCTGGCCATAAATGAAATATATAACTGCGGCCCGAAAACCAGATGCTACTGCAAAGATACCAAATGGGAATAAAGTGCCAAAAGAAGTTCACTGACCAACGTTTATATATTTTGGGAACCAAAGAAGGTTAAAGAATCGTTTGAATGTGATAGTATTGATGCTGAATACACTCAGGTAAAAATACACCAAGAACTGTATTGTAAATGTTAGCAACATTTATAAAACTTCACATATATTTTAATTGAATTAAACCACACTTTCAATACATCGTTTCTTATATTTAAATTGTCTTTCAAGCTTAAATTTTAGTTTATAAATCCCACCAAAACTTACACAAATCAGAAAACGTTTGAAACAATATTTTTATACAGAATCGACACCGCATTTAAAACCGAAAGTTGTAATCGTTATTTTCATATTTTTGTGGCGCAGTGCTGAATATCCAAGTGGCACATTTTCCGACTTTTTCCCCAAAAAACCCGAGATCGAACGAAGAGAAAACTCCGAGACACGTGCGTGCGGCGCCGCTATGGAAAACCAACTGAAAAACCGTGAAAAATTTTGTACACCAGCTGCTGCTCGCCAGCGTTCGCTTGTCGCTATTCGCCTTTTTTCTTTTTTGCTTTTCGCTCGGGAAATCGTCGCTCGGCTTTTCCTGGGCGCCTGTCGAAAGTGTTGCCAGCTTTCTGGCGTCGACGCCGGCAGCGGCAGCGGGTCCGGTCAGCTGATCCAGGAAAAGCGGGGGAAAAACCGGATCCACCAGAAGCAACTAGTGCAGCTGGGCAAGTAACAGCATCCACATGGCATCCACAGGCGGCAACAGCTGGGCGACTTGTTGAAGTTGCAGACTCTGTGGGAAAACAGAGAGAGAGAGAGAGGAAAATGAAACAAGCTATTTTCCAGAGAGCGGGAAAAACAATTATCCGCTCTCCTGTGCAGAGCCTTTTTTGCTTTTGCCTGACTTTGCCTGCTTTTTCTCTTGTCTTTGCAGTGGACTCCATTCAATTTTGTGTTTATGAATGAAACGAAATTATTTGACTTTCCCATCGCGCCAAAAAATGTGTAGAACTTTATTTATGCCAAAACTTTTCCCTTTTTTTTTTTTTTTTGTTTGCTGGTCAAATTTATGGAACATCAGCCCGTCCATATGGCAGTTAACCCTTTTTTTTTGGCTGGTACCACTTGGCGTATGGGTAATAAATCATTGAATGAAATGATAAACTGCGCCGCCTTCCCACTTTTTCCTTGGCCATCCGGGATTTTTCTCACTTGCAATTTTTGTTTGCAACAACTTAAATAACATTTTAAACAACAACAATGGCATTTTAATAGACGACAACGATGGCGAATGTTTAAAATCCCCTTCGAGTGCTCGTAAAACGTTCCGTTTATCTTATTTTGGGGAGCTTGTATTTATTTGCATTTCATTCTATGGCGCCTCATGTTAGATTTATGTGCTCGCAGGCTCATTGGTTGTGTGGATCTATTTGCTGAAAATTTATGTTTGCATTTCAATTTACTTCCTCCTGTCACACTCACAGTTTTCTCTTCGTTTTTTATTTTTGCCAGCATATGTTGATTAACTCGAGATATTTATGGCAGTGCCGTATATTTGTGAGATTTTTGGTTGTAAAATAAGGAATAATGTTAAGTAAGGTTAATAAAATGGAGAATTTAAGAGGGATTTTGAAGATTTAAAGCGAAGATTGTTAGTTAAATTATTTAAATCATTTGAAAAGGAAAATAGTATACTTAAAGATAGTGATTCTAATAACAAAATGCTCAATATTAAACGGATTCGAAGTAACATTCCAATACACTCCTTGAAGATTTGTTTAAAATTTCCCAAAAAAATACTTCAAGCGCAAGTACCTTCTCTTATTTATCATTTCTATAGAAATATCCTCATTGTAACCAGTTTAAATTCCCGCTTTAAATATTCCAAGCATGCTTTAATATTTGCCTGTCATGTTCGGCTTCGTTTTTGAAACAGATTTGCTCATTGACAAACCCCCGAGGGCGGCATTAACTTCCCCGCACTACGTCGACGGCAAAAGAAAACACAGCTTTCCCTTTGGCCAAATCATCCTACAATTTATGTCACATTTCGAACAGGATTCTGACACCTCAAAGTCCATACCCCCTCCCATTTATGAATACAAAAAAATATATATATTTGGAAAAGCGGGGGCCAAAGGCTATGGGGATCTCAATTATGAGGGCCTAAGTGCCGTTAAAACCAAATCAATAATTTCCCAGGCGCAACGTGCATGGCATGAGGAATCCGGAATACGTTGACAATGTCGAATGCCATCGAAAGGCGGAGGAGATCCATTAGATATGCGACGAGCACTGCCTCGGAGCCTCAACTGAATCCTGCGAGGCTGCTGCTGCTCACACACATGTCCTCCTCCCACATAGCCATGAATTTCCAAATGACATTCAATAAGCATTCGACGAGATGTTCAATTATTTTTCAATTGCATCGATTTGCGGGCAGGCCACAAAAGAAATTTGATTATACTTGAGGCCAACGCCTCCGAAGAAAAAGGAAAATACATACGGAAAACAATTTATTTAACTTAATTAATCAACATAAACAGGGGGTTTCTTAAGTATATTTTATACAAATCACATCAAACACTGAGGAAACTAAGTTAACTAAAACATTTTCACATTTTAAAACACTTTAAAGTAATCAAAAATCTCTTATTTTCCCGCTGTGCATAATTTCGCTTTTCTTTTTGTTGATTTTCCCACCAGCACGTGACTCATTTTGAGGCATCATTTCGGAAGTCGTTTGGCACCCATTTTGCCCTCTGTTTTGGCCACTTTTCCGTGTCTCTCTATAAACCAGTTAGCTACTTTGCATTAAAGCTCCCTCCCCCGAGTGGCCCAACTACTCTTAGTATGTATGTATATGCGATGGCACTCAAATGCGGCCTGTCCGTTCAGTCTAGCTGTCGCTCAATAGACACAGAGATGCGTGTTAGCGGCAAATGGATGGTTGGAGAAATCCAGGGAAATCCATGGGAAATCCCGGGAAAAGGCGGCAAACTGGCGGGGACAGGAAATGCTGACTTGACAGGGAACGGAACCCGAAAAGCTTCCGCCGCTGCCATGGCAGCCCAAGAGGAGCCCTCAAACCACAGACAAGGATTCAGTTTGCGGGCAGTATTTTGGGCTGGGGCTCATAGAAGAGAACCCCGTAGCGATAATCCCCTCAATCCACATGGAAATGTGGACACAATGTGAGGCATATACATAAGCACTGAGAGAAAAGTGATTGAAGTAGTTGATATTCCATTTATCTCTTCCTTGACTAGTGTAATATTCACTTTACTTTTATATATCACAACTATATGTTAAAATTTCCTATTTCTCCAAGTGCATGCCGTAAAAGAGGCTAGATACAGCATCACCTAGGGCAACTATCTGTTGTGACGACTTTAAAGGCTATTTCCATTGGAGGCAACACAGACAGCAGCTGCTAGCGGAAGTTGTTGATATTTTGTTAACAGATTTATTTGCGCAACGTGTTCACGCTTTCATTTGCAATTTTCCACTAGACCTCGACGAGGTCTCTCTGTCTCTCCCTGTCGATTTGCTCGATATTTTTCTTTGCTTTTTTCGCATTTCGATTAACCAGAAGCGAAGTGCCGTGGCGGCAGTGATGTTTTGTCCAATTCCGACACTGGAGCACAAAAGAAATGAAGGCATTCGAAGGGAGGATGGAAGCCGAAGCTGAAGCTGAAGCTGCCACTCTCTCCCTGTCAAACCCATTTCAAGTGGGCGCCAAACTGCAGAGGGCACCCCCATTGTGTGCCTCCGAATTTCCACATACCCTTGGGTCCTCGTTCCAGGTTTCTCGCTTTCTTACTTCCTGGGATCCTTTGTGCCTTGGGATGAGTGGATGGGTGTATGCCACTTTGACAGTCCCTAGTCACTCAGTTAGTTTTGGCGGTGGCCAAAAAGGAACTCGGCTCTGTCAATCTCGTTTGGATTGAAGTTGATTTATCCAAGGACGAGACTTTAAAAGTGTACACACTGTCAGCTCAAGTGGCTTTAGACATCACAGAAATGTCCGCCAAAAAACGTAATGAAAATTTTATTCGACGGGCTTAACTTGTGATTTTCAATAAGCACGAAAAACTTTTTGCTGAAGATAATTGATGTGCGAGAATTTAAGAGGCCTTTGGACTTCCACTTGACTGCCCCAAGTGCAGGCAAAAATTATAATAATTTTCATGTGTTATGCCAGGGCATGATTTAATTATCCCCTTTAGGGTTTTTCCGCGAAGGAATAAGTATAAACCTGTGCAGTGGCATATCGTTTGTCACTACCCTCATGGTCTGGTTATGTTCCTGACGCTGTCAGTCGGAGTCTGAGGATCCTTTGACGGTTTTGATGCTGCTGCTTTTTGTAACATTCGGTTTTTGTTTTTGACAGAGTCTGTCTGCGGGTTTTCCCTTACTTCTTCTCCCTTTAAGAAGAATATATATGTTTATAATTCCTGTTTTTTTTTTGTCACATCAAAGGGCCTGCCTTTGGGGAAATCTTTTCATTCATTTGCTTAGCCTTAACCCTGAAACTGAATATGTATTCATTGAACTTTGCAAAATGAATGAGTTTTCAGTTGTTGAAAGCTTCAGCGATTTTTCTGTCATTGCCACCGCAATTATTTTCCTTTTTTTTGGTATGGCTTTTAATACCAATGCTCAGAGCTCAGGGACTTCCAACTTCAAAACAAGAAAGGAAACTGATTCCGGGAAGTCGAGGCTTATATACCCTTGCATTTTGTAAATGAACTATTTAAATTAATATATGTATATGGAGATTTTTATATACAATTTTTTTCGATAAGTCAAAGTTTAAAAACTCACAACTCTGCCAAAAAGGCACTAATTTCAAATTTGTACAAATTTTTAAAAATTTAAACGATGTAACCCCTTATAAAATTTTGGAAAAAAATTGTCAAAAAAATTATTCCTTTCCCCCATACCTAGAAAAATTCGCCTGTTGATGCTGATCAAGAATATATATGATTTATAGGGTCGGAAATTACTCCTTCATAGCGTTTCAAGCTTCTGACTAAAAGTATATTACCATTATTTTATTAGATATTTATCTATATTTTTATAGCACAATTTTTCCAAAAATCAAAGTTTAAAAAACACATAACGATGTCAAAAAGACACTAATTTTAAGTAGGAAAACTTTCCTATGTTAATTTTAATTAGATTAATAAATCTGCATACTCAGTTTTAAATTTAAAAAAATTAAAAATTTTATCAATTTTTGACAATTTTAACGATGTAAACCCTTATAAAATGTAGAAAAAATTGGTCAAAAATTTGTTACTTTCCTTTATGCCCAGAAAGATTCGCCTGTTGATGCTGATCAAGAATATATATGATTTATAGGGTCGGAAATTACTCCTTCATAGCGTTTCAAGCTTCTGATTAGAATTAAAATACTCTAAAAGAGCATAATAAGCTGCCACTTTCACTTTAGACCCAATTAGGCATATCACAATGTAAGAATCAGGACCCAAGCATTTTTCTTGTTTTTTCCCCAGTTTTCTGTCTTTCTTGTTCACTGGTTCTTTTCTTTGCTTCTGATTTAACTTTTCAGTTGTTGAAGTTGAAGATATTTGCGTGACGGTCCGCATTATTATTTTGGGCATTTAGTATTCCATTTGTGTTTTGTGACTTGTTTGTGACTTTGTGCAGAGCTTTTAAAGTCTTTCTTAAACAGAAATATATAAAATATTGTTGTTTTTATCTTACCTTCTTATCTTTTTGCGCAATAAATCACAATAAACTTTCTTTACAAGTCCCAATTAATCATAGATGTATGTTCATTTTCCGCTACTTTTTTCCTCTTTAATGTTGGTTCACTTTTTTGTCCTATTTTCTGATAGTGCCATGTTTATTTTAAGGTTCTGACTGGTTGACCGATTTTTGTTTTGGCCATGATATCGCCCACATATTTGTAAATCAAACGATGTGCAGAGACAACTTTATCATAGCCTTTTCGGTGGCAGCTGCACCCATTCCCAGGGAGGAATCCACCAGGGATCCCTAGTTTTTTGGATGCTCTCATTCGGTTTTATTACGGTAGGGTTTCATGTGGGTGGAATTACCAAAAAACAAGAAAGGAAGCTAACTTCGGCACGCCGAAGTTTATATACCCTTGCAGATAGAACTTCTATGAATAGAATACAATATAAATTATATATATTTGTGTTAAAAAACAATGAAGTAATACCTGCTTTCATTTCATTCACCTATACATATTATATTTGCAGTTTTACATTCACAGATTTTCATTTTTCCTCTACATCAAACGATCGTTTGTATGGCACCTATATGATATAGTCGTCCGATTTTTATGAAATTTGCCACAAAATTTAAGACTTATATAAAATGGCTATACCTCAAATTTTATGAAAATCAGCTGAAAACTAAAAAAGTTATAAATTTAATTGTATTAATTTCTCGATCGTTCCTATGGGAGCTATATGATATAGTAGTCCGATTTTCATAAAATTTTACACAAAATTTTAGAATAATATGAAATGGCTATATTTCAAATTTGATTAAATTCTGTTGAAAACTAAATATGTTATCGCCACCGCGATTGTCAGTCTTCCGTCAACAGCCACCGCCATCCTCATTCCTCTCAAATTTCTCGATCGTTCCTATGGGAGCTATATGATATATTAGTCCGATTTTCATAAAATTTTACACAAAATTGTAGAATAATATAAAACGGCTATATCTCAAATTTGATGAAAATCTGTTGAAAACTGAAAATGTTATACTTATTAATTGAATTAATTTCTCGATCGTTCCTATGGGAGCTATATGATATAGCCGTCCGATTTTCATAAAATTTTACACAAAATTGTAGAATAATATGAAATGGCTATATCTTAAATTTGATCAAATTCTGTTGAAAACAAAAAATTTTATAATTTTTTTTGTAAAACTTTTCCGATCATTCCTATGACAGCTATATGATATAGTCGTCCGATCCGGCCCGTTCCGACATATATACGAGTGAGAGTATATAGAAGACTAACTGCAAAGTTTCATTTAAATAGCTTCAAAACTGAGAGACTAGTTTGCGTAGAAACGGACAGACGGACAGACGGACAGACGGACAGACGGACAGACGGACATGGCTAGATCGACTCGGCTGTTGATCCTGATCAAGAATATATATACTTTATATAGTCGGAGGTGCCTCCTTCACTGCGTTGCAAACTTCTGACTGAAATTATAATACCCTGCAAGGGTATAAAAACAGAGAAATTAGGAATACACATGAATGCGTTGCAGCGTGATCCACTTCAGACTATGCGAGTGGGCGTAATTAACACGCCACGAAGCCATAACGCCACTCGAGGGGCCAAAGGTCACAGTCGGAGCCCAGAGACAAGAGCTGCTGATTAATTGATTTTTTATCGACGCCTCTCCTTGGCTGCTTTTTGCAGCTTAACTCGGAAATCGGAATCGGAAGCCACTGCCAAGGCTGTCCGGGTAATTTATCAGCCAACTTCCAATTAACACGCGTTAAAGTCGCGCCTTTCCTGTGCGATTAACAGCCCAGATCCCTGATTCCACATCCTCAGACAGATCCAGATGAATGGCGGCAGTATCCGGTGTAAGTTTCCCGTCCTGAAAAAATAAATGGTAATGGAAATGGCAATGCAATCACGGCAAGTGAGTGTACTCGCAATTTTCCCGGCCATTGTTTCTTTGTGTCAGCATTAAATCCAACGACTCCCAATTAGCTTAATTAATTTCGCTGTTTTTCTGTTCGTAAGTACGTCGTCGGACAAAAATAAAACCTCTCAGCTAAAGGGAAGAGTAAAAATTATAAAAAAAGTTAAAATTTCCATGAATTCTGATGACCTTTAATACTTTCTTCCCAACAAGTTATCGAAATAACTAATTAACGAGAAAGGTAATTAACTTTGGAAAGCCGACTTTTGGTTATTCTTGTAATTTGCCATTGGATAAAAAAAGATCTGATGGAAATTTATATCATAAATAAGCCAAAAAAATATATTACAAAGACTTGATATTTATACCTTTTGCAGGGTACTGTAATTCCAGTTAAAAGCTTAAAACTCTGTAAAAGAGTCATTTCCGACCCTATGTTTCATATATATTCTTGATCAGCATAAACAGGGGAATCTTTCTAGGCATAAAGAAAAGAAACAAAATTTGTGACCAATTTTTTCAAAATTTGTTAAGAATTAAAAAAAAAGTGACAAAAATTTGAATTATTTAAAATTGTAAATTGAATAATCACATTTGTTAATCTAAATAAAAATAGCATAGGAAAGCTTTTTGAACTAAAATTAATGCATTTTTGGCTAAGTTATGAGTTATTTAAATTTTGATTTATCACAAAAAATGTAATTTTTGAATATGAATAAATAGTGCTACATTGCAAATTTATAACAAAATGTGTAATACCCTGCAAGTGTATAAAAAGGTAGAAAGCATAGCAATGCAAGTTTATGTAATTAAAAAGTTATTTTTAAACAATATTTATACTTATTTCAGACTAACTCAGATAGTTTATAAACAGTGGCAATTAAAAGAAAAGTTTATGTTGCCAGCAATTAATTAGCGCCACATAAAAATATTGTATATTTTCTAAAGTAAATTACAAGCAATGCGAATCAAATCTTAAATTTTTTCCAAACACTTTTCGAGTAAATCTCAACCCATTCTCTTCAATTTAGGGACTTGCCTGGGGAAATACCACGTGGATCTTTCCGACCAAGTCAAAGTCTACTGACCTCTCCCAAACAAAATCATTGACTGTCACTTAATCCAAAGGCAAGGCCTTGGTGGAGAACCAGTTAATGGATAGCCAAAGTTGAACGAACCAAAGGCAAAGCCCGCAGATACCATCGATAGTATCCACCAAATATTTACTCCTCTCGAACTGTTCGGCAATGAAACGTTTATTTGCTTAGCTTAGATAACAACAAGAGCGACCAGAGTCGTTAGTTTATGTACAAAATACCAATACCAAACACAAACTGCACTCGGGGGCCCAAAAAAAAAAAAACAAAAAAGTGAAAAAACAAAAGGAAACAGTCGTTTCCATTCCCATTCTAGGTTATTGCCAATTTAGATGCAGTGGCACTTTCAGTTTTTTCTCGTTATCGATTTCCCTATGTGTGTTGTAGATATAGAGTGTAGAGTGTGTGTGATGCAGCGTGTATGTGGTGCAGATTGTGTGTGGTGTGTGGAGTAACCCTGTTACCAGCATCCCTGCATCAGGCCCAATTGCTGGATGGCCCCGCAGCCCACACGGTTCTGCATATAATCCGGAAAATTACTCTGCAGCACCCGCATGGTATTCCGTTTGTAATCCGGAACCGCGTGTGTCACCAACTGGCAGGTTTGACTGCGATACACTGGCTTGAAGTTAGCCTCCGCGAAAGTGGAGTTGGTGTCCCATCTGTAAACCTCCGCATCGCCTTCGTTACGGAAGAATATTGCCGAGCCATTGTCCGTGCCAATGATAACCATGCGGCTGGGCTTTTTGCCAAGGTCTGTAAAATATTAATTGGAAAATGAGTTAATTATTTATAATTTCCAATTAAAAACCTCTGAAAAACTTACCCAATATCCTTCCATCGGCCACACCGCTTCGCAGATACTCCGATTTCAAAGAGAAAAGCTTATTGGTGCTTAGGTAGGTGAAGTATAGCTCCGTGGAGCCACAGTCACGGCGGATAAGGGCTATGTAGAGGACATCCCTTGAGCGACAACCGGCAGTAACAGCCTTGGGCAGTACCACACGGAATCCCCGATCCGCCTGTAGATTGTATACAATGATGGCCCTATTGGCGGCATCGCTGACATAGACAAAGCAACCGCCATCCGGAGCATAATCCACCACCAGATACTGCAAGCGAGAACTGCTGGAGGTCAGACCCTCCAGGGAAACAGTCTTCAGCACCTTGCCAGTCTTCACCGACATGGCCACCACTTTCGGGGGACACTTTCGTACGGGAGTCTCCAAAGTATTGACAATGCCAGTATCCAGCACCCAGAGCACCTCGTTTTGATCCACCACTAAATCAACCACCGACTGCAGGGCCTTGCAGTTGCCTTCCTCCTGCAGATCCCAACAAGGATATGGCTTGAAGGTGGTGGAACAGGTGCCCGGCTTTACATTGGTCTTGACCAAAGTGGCTGGAACACCTTTCCGGTAGCGTGGGAGAGCCAGGTAAATGGTGTCTCCGATTAGTTGCGCTCGCGTGGCGATCACATTCTTGGGTATAAACTTGCCAGAGCTCTTGAAGAGTGACTTGGTGCTGGCACAGGGGAACTCGAACTGTCCCCCGGTCCACTGTATGGGCTGGGAGTCGGAATGGGCTCGGTCTGGTGTCCACAAGCCGTACTTGGTGCCCTGTGAGTGTGCTAGCCCGAGGATGGCGGCCAGGATTAGCGCCAGTTGCAGTCTCATCTTGGCAGCGTTAATCGTTTAATTATTTTGGCGGCAACTGCAACGACGACGACGACAACGTGCGCGTTATTCTACTTCCCATCTCGATCAAGTGGCGTGCTTATATAACCCATGAATCTTGCCAAGAGCCAGAGGCAACGTGCCTCGCCACCAATTCTCAATTTCCAATCTCAAAAAACCAAAAACCTTGAATAGAGTTTAAACAAAAAAAGAAGTCACTCTACAAATAATTGAAAAACAGTTGAACTATTGTAATCCATACTCTTCAACTTGGTAGTATTTAATTTAGAATATAATTTTAAATAAGAAAGGAAGCTACAACAATAATGAAGTCATGCCTGCTCTCATTTCATTCACCAATAAATTTTTTAGTTACACCTTTACATTCACAGCTTTTTATTTTACTCTATTTTTAACGATCGATTGTATAAAAGCTATAACTAAATCATATAGTCCGAATTTCATTAAATTTTACACAAAATTTTAGATTATTATATTATTTCTATATATAAAATTTGATGAAAATCTGTTGAAAACTGGAAAAGTTATAAAGTTTTTCTCTTAAAATTTTTCGATCGTTCCTATGGCAGCTATATATATGTATATATATAGTCTACCGATTTGCCATGCTCCGACTTATATACTAGTACAATTATATAGAAGAATAACTCCATAGTTTCATTCAAATAGCTTAAATTTGTTCCAAAAAAATCTCGCACATCTGTGCATATGATTCTCAACTTGTTCTAGCATCCCCGGAACGAAGTGACTGCTGCCGGCCAAGTCTCGGATATGTGTTGTGTTACAAAAGTTGCAAGTCATTGTTTATTAGTGTTCAAAGTTATTAAGTGAACATTAATACATACTGGTCATAAATACTTACTGTTCAGAGTTACTTAATGCTCATTGATACTTACTCATCAGAGTTACTTACTGATCATAGTTAAATTAAATATTAGCTCTCTGCTCCTCTCTGCCTCTCCCCCTCTCTCGCTATGTTAATCGCTCTATGTTAATCTCTAGAGGCAACTGCTTCTCTCCCACGCACTCACACTCTCTTCTCTGCTCTTCTCTGCTCTTTTCTGCTCTGCTCTCGGACTATAAATAGAGGTGCTGAGGTCGCGCGCGCCTCAGTCTGTCCTAGGGGTACCTAGTGTTAACATCTCAAGTGATAGTGCAAGTGATCACCCTTCTGGATGACTAGGAAGAAGTTCACTTGGATGAAGTCACCATTCTTGATCACTACACTGGAAGGAAGTAAACAATGACGTGTCCTTTACTGCGGTAAGTCTTAATCATGACAATTATATTATGTATGAAGAAGCTATTGGCTTTATATTCCAATTTATTTCCTTATTGCCATGGTCCCCTTTACATACTTACTAGTCATAGATACTTACTGATCAGAGTTACTTAATGTTTATTGATACTTACTGATCATAGTTATTTACTGGTCATAGATAATTATTGTTCAGAGTTATTTACTACTCATAGTTACTTAACGCTCATAGTTAATTAGTGATCATAGTTACTTAATGTTTATAGATGCTTACTGATCATAGTTACTTACTGGTCATAGATACTTACTGCTCAGAGTTACTTAATATTTATTCATACTTACTGATCAGACTTACTTACTGCTCTTAGTTAATTACTGATCATAGTTACTTACTGGTCATAGATACTTACTAATCATTTATCATTGCATTAAATATTCTCCCACCCTAAAAAGTTCAATTTACTCATGTTTCACTGTGTTTCGCCACCAGAAACCTCAAAAGTTTTTCAATGAAAACCAATACAAAACGAAAAAGGGCCAAGTAAGGAAGAGGACAGCCCTTGTGACCTTCTCCTTCCATCGTCCTCTCAATTAACTATTGAAATGGCGAACGATACTGCAATTACTGCAATCAATATGGGGGACAGAGGAGAACCCACAAGTGTCGCCTGATTGCTTGATGATATTTTTAGCTAATTAATTACGAGTGCAATCTCGGCCAAGATGACCTCATCAGAGTCTGCGATTTAACCAATCTCGACGAAATGAATGAATGATGGAAAATCACTACAACTTTGGGATTTCCCTGCAGAGTTCTGTCATTGCCATCACTACTGCCATCATCGTAATTGCCCCATAAATAGGTTAAAGCCCTCGGATTCTGGTAGACAACCCGGAATCGCCCCTCAAACCCGAATCCAACATGTTTGGCATGTTCAATTGTCAGCCGAAAAGCACCCGGCAGCACCCGCATTCCGGGTGGCTTTTCCCCCCTGAATGATTTATACACGTTGCCCCACACACCCAGTACAACCAGCACCACACACCCACACCCACACATGGGGCACAAAAAATTGATGACAAGCATTTCCGGGCTACTCATCTGACATAATTTATGTAAACACTTACCTCCCTCCGAGCTTGTGGTTGTGGCTTCCAGATAAGAGACAGCTAGGGCGACTGTCGACTGACCCCCATTAGGCGCAAAACTTCCAACCAGGATTTCCCATTTTTCCTCCGCAGGCCATTTTCCACACATTACATTGACAGTTTTTTCTTCCTTCTTCTTTTTATTGCCGCCAGGCCAACGGGGCGTATGCGTGATCAACGGCGCACTTCTTTAAAACTCTCTCAATCTCCAAGTTTACGTGTATATATATATATATGCCAATAAAATCGCAATTGAAAACGCAAATAAGCCAATAATTTGTCAGTTCTTTGTTTTTTGTCCCCCCCGGAGGAGGGTGGTGCAAAGGTACAAAAAACAAAAGAAGTATTGTCTGTGGTCACGTTTGATTCGCTTTGTTAAATGGGACGGACTTGGGCTTTGTGCTGTTTATTTGTTGCTGAGAAAAGCGATTTTCATTTTTAACGGGAATTTCACATAAATTAAAATTAAATCCCAGAAATTTCCAAGGGTATGATGGAGTATTATGATAAGTAAAGGCAATTTCTTGTACCTTCTTATTTACTTTATTTAATTGTTAGAAAATAAGTATTTTCGATAGCTAGCTTAATCTTTTTACTTAAACTTCCCAAGTTCTCAAAACCCTTAGTTAGCTTATTCCAAGTCACTTAAAGCCAAGTTTTAGGACACATTAATCAAATAGTTTTTGAAACGAGGGTCTTATAAATTCCACTACAGGGTATTAAAGAGTTATCAGCTAAGCAGAGCTTCCATATTAATCTTCCCATACATTTCGCTGCTCTCATAATTTATGTGCTTTGCTTTCACTTTGTTGGCTTTCTTTCGTCGGCCAAGTTTTTGCCTTTTTTGTTTACGTCTGCTCGAAGTTGTCCACTGTGTGTGTGTTTGTGTGTGTATGTTTGGTTCTTAACCATTTTTGCTTTGCCTTTGCTTTTAGCCAGCTCAAATGGTTCGATGAATTGCCATAAATTAATACCTCAATCCATTGGATCATCTTTGTTTAATTGTTTTTCGATTTTTTTTGGCAGCCATATGCTCGTTGTTTTTGCTTTGGATTTTTGCTGGCAAATTGCATGTTGAATATGCACTTATTTTTTTCTGAAAAATGCTATCAATGCCACATTGTTAAATTTTCCATTTCAACGCATCTGTCAGAATTTGGAAATAATAAAATAGGGCCAAACATAATTGGGAACAAGGAATACACTTCCTGGTTAATAGATGTAGTAGAATTGGTAATCAAAATTATTTTAACGATTTTAACTGTTTGTAATCAAATTGTACTGACTTTTCCTATAAAAATACTTTCTCGTGTTAAAAAAGCAGGAATAGCAAGATTGATTTAAAATGTATTCTCTTATTCATTTTGCAACTTTAACTTTAGTATAATAATCAATATCTTTTTAATCTTTTTAAAACTCCCTTGCATTTGTTAGAGTATTGAACTCACCAGTCTGGTTGCTTCGTTAAATTTTCATTTTGATATTTTTTCTTGCTTTTATTTATATTGGAGCGCATAAATATTTATCTACAGATTTCATGATGAAACCCGCCCACAGCCTGTCCTGATTTGGGGGCATGTGTGTGCCATAAATTCGGAGATTACGATCAGAGGATGGGGGACTGAGGGGGGATTGAGGAGGAGGCGACTTATGGCAGTTTATTAAAACGGATTTCGCACAAATTCAATCTGCATGTAATTTGGCATTATGGACAGTTCCAGTCCCAGCCAGAAACCCGTCAGGCGGAAGCCAATTGTTTGTGTGACCCCGACCAAAGAAAAAAAAAGAAAAGGGTTAACCTCGAAGGCATTTGTTGTTCTTGCCTTGTGAAAATATTGACCAGCAGCCGTTGGTCTTTTATAGTCTGTATTTAAAGAGATTAAACTTTAGGCAATTTAATGGAAGCCGTCCATAATTCAATGCACGTGCTACCCACACACAAACACACGTCCTTTCGTAGGACACAAACAAAGGACAAACCCTGCAGCTGGACACTGCCGAGTCCTCTTCCCAAAGAATGTGTCAACGCATTTTTTATTTGTTTTGTATTTGATGCGTGGGCGGTCCTCGCCAAAACAGGATCTTTACGAGGTTATTGTTCTCATGTCTGCGATACCTTTAATGTGATTTGAACTATAAATTATTTATTTAGGTGTTCAAATATAACTAACTAAAAATCTCATTTATTAAAGAGCAACTAAGCAAACTAGTTTCATAAAACTTATAAGCATAAATTCTTTTAGTAATTCATGTAGACAATGTATAAAAAAGAGCTTATTGCTAGGGGGCACCCGGATTTGAACCGGGGACCTCTCGATCTGCAGTCGAATGCTCTACCCCTGAGCTATACCCCCAACTCGAATGAAGTTAACTGAGAATGCCATTTAAAAAGTGATGACTCAGTAAAAAAATATACATTTGACATTTATCTCAAAATAGAAAGATGAAATCAGTGAAATCAATTAACACAGAAGAGATTGTGTGGCGTGTCACTGCAAGGCAGCAGCAGAAACAGTGGCTCCAGATACATCGCAATCTTATCAGGTTGCTGGAGAACCCTGACCTCCTCCTCCCCTTGCCAAACTTCCTTCCCACTGATAGCTTCATGTCGACAGATGTTTTATTTTCTTTTTACCCCAAAAACCCCCGAAAAATAACTGGTAACATAAACCAAGTAACCGAAACTTTTCTTGGTCATCGAATCCGAAACAGAAACAGATTCGAGCTACAGATACAGGTCACAGACGTCACAGTATTGATATTGAACTTTGTGGTCACTTTGGCAAGTGTTTTTTAGCCCATGACCCCTGAACTTAGTCGGCAAAAAAAAGGGGTGCCAAGTTGAGTTGCCATCAAAATTATAGAAATAAATTATCGATAATTTTATTATACATATTAAAGTCAGCACTTAAGAGCTACCACTTTAATATTCTCTTATCACATTTAAAATCATTAGCCAAAAACCGTTTTCTGTATATAAAAAAATGGTTTAAAATTTGAGACTCTTTTTCCGTGCGGCTTTCCTTCCGCATTGCTTAGAAACCATAACCGGCGTTTCCGCCGTTGGCCAGACGTGCTGGCTGCCATTGGTACACACATATCTAGAGATGCACATCTGTATATATCACTTGTTTTGGCCCATGTTTAGCACTTAACGACCTTGCTGCAACACGCTCCAACATCGGCTTTGCGGCACAAATCGGTGGCTTTTATATATAAGTGCAGCACCGCCGTCCGACGCTCAGACAGTTTTATGTTCGTTCTCGCCCAAAACGTGGCCATCGAGATATTTTCACTGCCAGTCCAAGAGGAACCATCGAAATGACCATCCAGCTGCTACTGCTGCTGGCTCTCATCTCCACCGTTCTGGGTGGTTATAGTCCCTCGTCCTCTGCGGATGAGTCCGGAAGCACGAACAGCATCGGAGGCAGCAAATGCGATAAGAATCCGCTTAGTGAGCTCACCTTTCAGCTGAGTGGAAGCAGCCTTCACTGGCCCTGTGAGTCCACCAAGAACATCTATGTCCAGTCCGGCAGATATGTGCCAAGAAATGTGATCGTCACACGGGCCCAGCTACAGAAGGATGCGGCCTTTGTGGCACTGCCCAGGTACAAGCAGGGCGTGCCCTTTACCCTTGGAAAGGTGAACCTGAAGAAGGGCGAGTGTTTGACCAAAATTGCACCGTATCCCTGCTGGGCCATCCAGGAGGAGGGCAACTGCCAGGCGCTGCAGTCAGTCGTGGACATTGCCGTCGATCAAAATGTGAGTACAATTAACGCTACTGTTTTTTTATTATATATGTACATACATATATATTTTTTAACAACTGCAATGGTCAAGTTGTCGCATCCGAAAGTGCAATTTGTGCCCTTAACTACGGACTTGTATTATTTTTTACGTTGAGTGTCCTTTTTGACGCCTTTAAAGGGTTTCCGTTTTTTCATATTTTTATCACTGACTATAAAAAGGGTAATGGTTGAGGTATATTCGTGCAAAAAGGTATACAAATCTAGGTTGGCTGAGAAATAAAAGAAAAGTAAATAAGTTAAAACTATACCACAAAAATATAACAACTTTAGCCCTGGCAATATAGTAAAAACTAAATAAACACCTCCAGGGTATCATTTACACATTAATTCCCTAGAAAGTCATTCTTTTTAACTACCCAGCCACGCCTCTTTCGAGGGAGAAATTGCTTTTTTAATCAAATAAATGGTGGCGACAAAAACCGAAGAGCTTCAAATAAAATGCATGTCTGTGCAATTGGCGCCTGCCAGCAGAAGCGAAAGAAACCACCGAATAAACGGACTGCAAATAATACAAAAAAAAACAAGAAAGGAAGCTAACCTCGGCACGCCGAAGTTTATATACCCTTGCAGATAGAACTTCTATGAATAGGAATCCATACAATAAAAATTATATATATTTGTGTTAAAAAACAATGAAGTAATACCTGCTATCATTTCATTCACCTATACATATTATATTTGCAGTTTTACATTCACAGATTTGCATTTTTCCTCTACATCAAACGATCGCTTGTATGGCACCTATATGATATAGTCGTCCGATTTTCATGAAAGTTGGCACTAAATTTAAAGACTAATATAAAATGGCTATACCTCAAATTTTATGAAAATCTGTTGAAAACCGAAAAAGTTATAATTTTTAATTGTATTAATTTCTCAATCGTTCCTATGGGAGCTATACGATATAGTAGTCCGATTTTCATAAAATTCTATGCAAAATTGTAGAGTATAGTAAAATGGCTATATCTCAAATTTGATCAAATTCTATTGAAAACTGAAAAAGTTAAAAATTTTTTTGTAAAAATTTTCCGATCATTCCTATGGCAGCTATATGATATAGTCGTCCGATCCGGCCCGTTCCGACATATATACGAGTGAGAGTATATAGAAGGCTAACTACAAAGTTTCATTCAGATAGCTTCAAAACTGAGAGACTAGTTTGCGTAGAAACGGACAGACGGACAGACGGACAGACGGACAGACGGACAGACGGACAGAAGGACAGACGGACAGACGGACAGACGGACAGACGGACAGACGGACAGACGGACATGGCTAGATCGACTCGGCTGTTGATCCTGATCAAGAATATATATACTTTATATAATCGGAGGTGCCTCCTTCACTGCGTTGCAAACTTCTGACTGAAATTATAATACCCTGCAAGGGTATAAAAACAAAGAATGGTTATGCAAATGGAATATTATAAAAGGCCAAAAGCCAAAAGAGGCCAAAAGGCTGCTGTTGCTGCAGAGTTGCCATTCAAAATGCAGCGGAAAGTTCTCCGAAATAATTTGAACATCGCAGGAAGTGCCAAGTCCAGAGTTTTGTGTATTTCGATTTCAATTTGAACTCTGTAAACTGTTGTTTAACTGCAAATATTTAAAGCCCGATAAGCTATGAGTTGCACGGCAGAAAATGTCTGGAATGTCAATTATTTTTTATTGACAAATTATTAAATATTTACAACGCTTTTCGATTTGTTTACACAAAAGCACAACATACCAAAATGACCTAGTTTTCCCCCCACAGATTCTACCATCAATTCGCTCTCATTTAAATGCCATTCTCGTTTAGCTGCATTTATGCAAATCATTTCTTTATTTTATTTACACAAAAGTCGTCGCAATAACCATTGCGATGTGTGCAAACAGCAAACAATAAACAACGCACATGGTATTTATTTATTTTGCACAATTTCCCCATTCAGCGGATTTTAATGTTATTGTTATGAGCGTTGAGTGTTGAGTTCTTAACGCCGACAACATTTCAATTAGCAGTTGCACACAGAAAAACCGAATGAATATATATTTATAATTTACAAAATTAATCTCCGGTTTTTTAAATTGCATTTTTAAAGGGACTTCTGTGGGCCTTGGATGTGGGCATTGTAAATACTTTGGAGCAGCCCATTCGTCGCTGCGGCCCCAAGATCGTGGCCATTAACACGGCCAACAACAAGGTGGTGAAGAGCATCGACCTCAGCGACCTGGTCACCTCCGAGAGCCGTCTGCAGTTCATCGTGGTCGACTACTCCAAGGACAACAAGCCATTCGTGTGAGTTTTAGCGCAAATTAACTTTTATTTCCATGACCTGGTGTCTTCTGGCAAATGCAGGGCTAAAAGAATGTTTTCATTGTTGATTATTTTCATAAAAATGAAAACCTTTTTTAACATGTTTTGTATAAAAATATATTTTACATTGAAATCATTTCTTATATCAACTTTTCATTCTTTACAGCTACGTGGCTGATGCTGGAGCTCGCAGCATCCTGGTGTACGACATCACCGGCAACAAGTCCTACCGCATTGTCCTGCCCAAGGCCACTGCACCCACCACCGATGTCCTGTATGTGGCACTCACCTCCAAACCAGACGGCACCTCCACTCTGTTCTTCAGCTACCTGAGCTCCTCGCGCCTGTACTCCATCAAGGGCGAATATCTGCGTGTTGGCCAGGGCGCCGGCTCCATCATCGATGTGGGTCCGAAACCATATGGCAAGCAGGCGGTGCTCCTGGGCGCCGATGGTGGCACCTCACTCTTCTTCCGCTACAAGGGCGAGAACGACATATATCTGTGGGACTCGGAGACGTGCTTTAAGGCCGCCAATCTGCAGGAGGTGCAGCGCGGCGGCGATTGCCGCCTGTCCACTCAGGTCCTGCCCGGACACAAGCGTTTCATGTGGGCACTGGAGAGCAATTTCCATGACTTTATCTCGGATCGAACTGGTTGCAATGGGGCCTCCATTGTCCTGCATCCGGTGGTTAAAGAGTGTGATGACTAAAGATCCCATGGTCTCATAGCATAGATGCTCTTAATTATTAGGCCTAATACCAGCCTTGGTTTATTTTCTTTCGTTATCTTGTCTTATTAAAGATTTTCAAACAAAACTGAATAGGGCAAAATTTTAAACGTTCCGGAAGTCCGGAGGAACACACGCATTGTTCATGAAAACGAATCCTTCGCGGCACTTCATTATCAGGGGATACAAGCTGTTGGCCGACGTCTCATTGACGCAAACATAAAAGTACCTGGTGTCCGCTTCCCAACCGCCAACATCTCCGGGCCGACTGCAATTGAATTGGGCGCTCAGGCATTGATCACTGTCGCGGGGCAGGACACAGGTTTCCGTAAGCGTCGAGAAACCTGCACCATTGGTGCACTGACGCGGTGTGTCCACCTGGAGGTCACTGCACTCGTGGTACCGCCGGCAGTCGTAGGGATCGGGAAATAATCCCGCCTGCTGGCAGGTGAAGGGTCCCCGCTTTGGCACCTTACACTGTGCCTGCCAGGTGCAGCCGTAGGTGCCTTCGTCGCTGCAGTAGAAACTGTGTTCCGATTGACAGCCGAGCATCGATATGGTATCCCATCGTCCACTGGCATCCTTTACGCAATAACCCAATGTGGTGCAGTTTAAGCACACGAAGCCAGCCGTACGCACATCCTGGCAGGGATTATCCTCGGAGGCTCTGACTCCAATGGCCGCCAGGCCGAGGAGTAGTAGTAGAAAGACTTGAAGTTGAGGCCACATCTCGCAGACTGTTGATGAGCTCACACAGGCTTCAAGCTTTTATAGCTCTTACCTAATCAGGCTGACATTGTTCTGGGTTATAATTAAAAAGATAAGCCATGGAAAGTTCTAATGCAAGGTTATAACATTTCATTTGGAGTCTTTAATTTGCAACCTTTTTTTAGACAGATTGTACTTGTAAAGATGTTCTCCCCCAGAAACTTTGAGAAGCTTGCAATTATTATTTATTTTGTAATGCTCAACAAGTTCCTGGAACACATCCAAACATTGTCAGGCTGAAGATCATGCCAGCCTGGCATCTGGAGTACTTGATCTCTTCTCCCTTGTCAGCGCAATGAAAGTAGCCAGAGCAATCGGTTGGGTCACCAAATAACCCAATTCGCTGGCACTTTTCATCAGAGGAATCCACCGTACTCGGTGTATCTGAACTGCCGCTGCCGCTGCCGCTCTTCAGGCAAACCTTTTGCTCGGAATTAAAGGTAGCTCCCGCTGGACAGTTCTGGATCTGTAGTTTTCCGCCAATACAGAGACAAAAGATACTGCCGGAAGTTGCACTTGGACATGCAAATGGAGTATACTGCTCCTGGCAGTCCACTGTACCGATCCTGCAAATCAAATGGCTAGCATCGAAGTAGGTTCCTTCAGGGCAGCCGAGGATCTCAAGATGCAGGTCTTGGTTGCAGCGACAAAACTCTGACGTGCTTGATGTTGTACCCTCGGGACACAGAGTTATCTGGAGACGTTGGCAATCAACAATGTCCACAGACACACAGGAATCGCTTGTTGTGTTTAAGAAGAAGCCATTGGGACATGACCGATCATCGGCAGTACATCCTTTGGCCAAGAAAAGTACTGCCAATCCAACAACCAGCCAAATAAACTGAACACTTGATCCCATTGCGAAGACACTTCTTGTGGAGCTACTCTGAACTTTCTTTTATACGGCCAACTAGTCACTGAGTAAAATGTTCTGACTTAATTAATAGATAAACTGAAGAGGTGTCGAGACATGAATTCTAAAATCTAGTAGTATAGGGAGTTATGACCTTGTTGTTAAAGCCAATATAAGATATTCTCTTATGATATATTTGGTTTTAACAAAATCAAGAAAGGAAGTTAATTTCGGGAAGCCGAAGTTTGCAAAACCGAAAACATTCATAACTAAGTGAAAAACGTATTAATTAAAATTCGGAAAGCTTTCAAATGTTACTATTTATTAGGTTAATAAATCTGCTTACTCATTTTAAAATGTAAGAAAGCAAAAAATTTTATCAATGTTTCGAAATTTTAACGATATAACCTTATAAAGTTAAAAAAAAACGGTCAAAAATGTTATTTCTTTCCATTGTGCCCAGAAAGATTCGCCTGTTTATGCTGATCAAAAATATATATAGTTTATAAGGTCGGAAATGACTCCTTCGATGTGTTTTAAGCTTCTGACTGAAATGAGAATCTAAAAAATAGATGGGAACAGACATTCCGAATTCCAAATAATACTTTTGTTTTGATTAGAAATTTGTTATCTCTTCCGTATTTATTGTATTATTCTTTTATTCATTATTTTATTTAATTACAGTATTTTGAATTGCAGAAGTATTTTCTAGTTAAATTCGAACCAAAAACCAATATAATTTTAATGGATTTTTATTAATTTTTAAAAACATTACAAATTTTTCGACAAATCAAATTTTAAAAATCTCATAACTCAGCTAAAAATGCATTAAATTCAATTCGGAAAGCTGTTCTAAGCTAGTTTTTATTAGGTTAACAAATCTGCATACTAAGTTAAAAAGTATAAAAAATTCATATTTTGGCCACTTTTTGCAAATTTTAATGATGTAACCCCTTATCGTTTTCTTAAATTTTGGCAAAATTTGTGAAAAAATTTTTGTTGTTCGGAGTGATCTAGATCGACGCAGTTTTTTGTGCTGATCAAGAATATATATGGTTTATAGGGTCGGAAATGACTCCTTCGATGTGTTTTAAGCTTTAGACTGAGATGAGAATACCCTTATTTTTCTATAAAAAAATAGATGGGAAGAGACATTACGAAGTCCAAATATTAACACTCTTGCGTTGATTAGAAATTTGTTATCTCTTCCGCATTTATTCTATTATTCCGTTGTTCATTATTTTATTTAATTATAGTATTTTGTAATGCAGAAATTTTTTTAGTTAACTTTCAACCACAACCCAATATAATTTTAGTGGATTCTTATATATATCTTTTAAAATACAAAATTTTTATTTAAAATTTAAAAATCTCATACTTAAGCCAATAATGTATTAAATTCAATTCGAAAAGCTGTTCTCTGCTTGTTTTTATTAGTTTAAAAAGTCTGCATACTTAGTAAAACAAGATAATAAAATTCAATTTTTTGCAAATTTTAACGATTAAGTATCTGACTAAAATAATAATACCTTGCAAGTTTTTAATAACCAATTAATGCTCTAATATCTGGGAAGGGATCTAATGAAATATTTGCCTCAAACAGTTTCTGGGAGGCAATCCAATCGATTTAAATTATAGCAACATAATACCCGGTAAATGTGAATGGTTAGCTTTTGAATATGCTGTATTATATTAATCAAGTAGTCTTTCGGTTACTTCATTTAGTTTTTTGAAATCAACACTTTGTGAAAAAAAATCGTTAGATATTATTAAGTGCCTTGCTCTGATTTCTGTGTCATAATATGCATGCCAAAATGTTTTCTCATTTAATTTATTTTAGTTATTCCCCACGAGCAGTGGGAGACAGACTTGCTCTTACAATTATTTTATTTTATTTTATTTTTTTTTTTTACTTTTGTTTTAATTATTTACTATTATTTACTAATATATTGACTCTTCTTTATTTACGTGTCTTAATTTAAAATGCTTTTCTGCGTACGGATTTATAAGTCCGAAATATTTTTGGAATTTAAAAAAAGTACATCCTTTATTTAGAATTTATATAAATTTGAATTTTTTGGTTGATTTTAAGACATTTTTTATAAAATAATTAATTTTAAAATTTTACATTAAATGTTTTCTCTTATTCAGTTTTAAGTTCACAGCTAGCCATAATTTTGAATGCAAAATAATATTGGAGGTACTTGGGTCTATAATACGTCTAACTAATCACTCAGTAAAATGTTCTGTTTAAGACATTAATTTTTCATAAAATAATTTATTTTTAAAGTTTTATATTAAATGTTTTCTGTCATTCAGTTTTAAGTTCACAGCTAGCCATAATTTTGAATGCAAAATAATATTGGAGGTACTTGGGTCTATAATACGTCTAACTAGTCACTCAATAAAATGTTATATTTAAGACATTAATTTTTCATAAAATAATTTATTTTTAAAGTTTTATGTTAAATGTTTTCTGTCATTCAGTTTTAAGTTCACAGCTAGCCATAAATTTGAATGCAAAATAATATTGGAGGTACTTGGGTCTATAATACGTCTAACTAATCACTCAGTAAAATGTTCTGTTTAAGACATTAATTTTTCATAAAATAATTTATTTTTAAAGTTTTATGTTAAATGTTTTCTCTTATTCAGTTTTAAGTTCACAGCTAGCCATAATTTTGAATGCTGAATAATAATGGAGGTAATATGACCAAATGGTCACTCAGTAAAATGTTCTGTTTTAATTAATACAATTTAATTAATACGGTTTCAATCGTATAAGCATATATTTATGTTGTCAAAGGTCGATAAATCTCCATCCTTGATTTGGTATTTTATAGGTAACAACTTTTTTTTTTATTTTAAGGCATTAATTTTTATAAAATAAATAATTTTGTAATTTTACATTAAGTGTTTTCTCCTATTCAGTTTTAAGTTCACAGCTAGCCATAATTTTGAATGCAAAATAATAATGGAGGTACTTAGGGCTTTTATTCGTCTTACTAGTCAAATAAAAGCCGAATAATGGGGGATAGGAAGGCCTCTAAGGCATTAATATCAACGACATCTGGAATTCTAATGGGCCTTGGTTTCTTGGTTTTCAATGGGGAATCTGGTTTAGTATTGACCGCATCCTTCACTTCATCGACTTCCACGATGTCATGATCATCAACGCTCATCAGCGAGGCAAACTGATTATGACCAAGTGGAGTATTTGACTGCTGAGAAGCTATAACATTTTTGAACTGCGGTGCCTGATTTTGCAATCGTCGCCTCTTGGGCTCGACTTAAAAACATGGTTGATTCCTTTGGTTTTCCATTCGGGAAGGTCAGAGGCAGTATTCTGGGAGGAGCCAAGGGATTTCTTTGGCTAAGCACGTTTGGGAGCAGCGCTGCGGAGCTCAGCCACAACGTCAATTGAGCGAGTAGGGGTAGCCGATCGAGAGTTGTCATTAGGAAGAGTCCCCAATATTCCCTGGATGTGCCTGACTGTGTCTTAGTGGGTTAACCGTCGAGATAAAGTAGCCTCCTCTTTATTCGAGAAATCCCTTGGCTCATCCCAGAATACTGCCTCCGAATACCTTCCCGAATGGAAAACCAAAGGAATCAAACATGTTTTTAAGTCGAGCACTATTAATTGGCAGCGGGTGCAGACCAAGAGGCGACGATTGCAAAATCAGGCACCGCAGTTCAAAAATGTTATAGCTTCGCAACGGCCCACTGTATCACGTTCTCAGCAGCCAAATACTCCACTTGGTCATAATCAGTTTGCCTCGCTGATGAGCGTTGATGATCATGACATCGTGGAAGTCGATGAAGTGAAGGATGCGGTCAATACTAAACCAGATTCCCCATTGAAAACCAAGAAACCAAGGCCCATTAGAATTCCAGATGTCGTTGATATTAATGCCTTGGAGGCCTTCCTATCCCCCATTATCCCATCTGATGATTTTGAATTTCGATTGTCTCCTGCTGGGGATGTCCGAATTTACGCAAAGGATTCTAACACCCTCCGCCAGATACTCAAGTTGCTTAATGCTCATAATGTTGAGTATATACAAGAATAATTCTCTGAGGCAATGCTTCAGGTGTTTCGACTTCGACCACACTAAAAATTCCTGTCTAAAGAGGCTAGCCATAATTTTGAATTCCAAATAATGAAACATCGGTTTAATGCGTGGCACAGTTCTGAAATTATAATATCCCAAGAGCTTACCTCGCACTAGTTTAGAAAATGTAATTAAAAAACATTAATTTTTCTTGAGCTTGAATCGTATAAGTCGAAGACTTTTCTCTTCTGTATTTATCAATAAGCCTTTCCTTGGCAACAACTCATTTATATTTAAAAATCAAAACATCACTTGAGCTCAGCAGTCGCCCAGGACGCAGGAGGAGAGCTCCGGGCGATAGTAAGTGCCCTGCGGACAGTCCATGTGACGCAGGCTCCCATTTAAAGCGGAGCAATAGTAGTACTTCCGGCAATCGCTGCCATCGGCGATCAGTCCCACGTGCTGACAGGTGCTTGGCATCACGGAGAATGCATCGTCATTGGGATCCACCACAACCACCGACGGGTCATCTGTGGGGCTAGATGGCGGCAGGCCATTGGAGTTGGCACGACACACATAATCCACAAATATCTCACCGTCATTGCAGCGGTGCAGTGAGGGATAGATGACAATGGTGTCGTTCAGGTTCTGGTTAACCGTCGACTTGCACACATAGAAGATGTTGCTATTGGTGGGCCAAGGCGCCACGTAGCCTGCTTGGGGGCAGTAATACTGTCGCTGCAGGCACACGGGATCGCTGAGGGTCAGAGTGCACTGGCCAGTGCTGGCATCAAAGGCCTTGTCATTGCCACAATCGACGGCGGCGGCCACCAGAGTGGCGCCCACAAAGTAACACATGTGATACTTTTGGCAATCGTACGGATCCGGAAAGATGCCCTGCGAGGTACACTGGAAGTTGCCCTCGATGCCAAACGGATGGCATGGCCCCGTCTCGTTGGTACAGGTACCCAAACGGGCGTTGCAATAATACCCATTGGCCACGTCACAGGACTCCACGGGTATGTTCACCCACCCGTTGGAGTGCCGTACGCAGGTGGCCAGCAGTTCGCAGGACTCACAAATGGGTCCCGGACTCTGGCGGCCCTCGCAAGAGTTCGTTTCCCGCGGCTGTATCTGGCGAGTGGTCACAGTGGCTGCCCACGAATGGACCACAACGTTGAGCAGGAGCTGGGAAGGCATTTGGTTATTAAGGGATTTAAAGGAGAACGTTTGCAATTTTTTAAAGAAAAGGGGTGCTTCCATTCCAGGAATAAATACTGGTTAGGATTAGCATCCATAATTAAAGCCAGAACTCCTTCTTACCACAGCCACTATTAGTTTCTTCAAGAACATTATGACGTAGTCCCTTTGTATTCCTCTTTCTGCCAATATTTTTCAGTCACGTCCAACTCCCACGAGTATTTCCAATTGTCTGAGGTGATGCTTCCACCGTTGGCCCCAAAAATAGCAGACTTAGGAGATAACGCTTTATATCTTTTCGGTGTCTGTGTTTGCCTATCAACTTTCGAAAGTCGAATGGGGGAGTTGGGCAAAGTAGCAATCGCAGCAACAATTCTAATTACAACAAAAAGATTGGAAGGAATGCCGCAATGATGAGTAACTAAGGCATATTTACACAAAAGACAAAAGAAGAATACGCGTGGAATGAGTGTTTAATGGGTAAACAAAAGCAAAACATTTAGAGCACTTCACAGTGTTTGCCGGCAAATATTTGACTTGAATTTCTATCAATAAGTGCTGGTAGTATTATACATAGTTATGTACATTTAATATTAAAAAAAAAAGATATTAGGATTTCATTGTATTTGTTTCTGTTTCTATATTAAATATTAATATACATTTATATAATGCACACTAATCTACATTCGTTAAATGTTTTTTAATATTTAATATATAATACTTTTGTAAATTGGAAGAATATTCATACAGATTTAAATTTAAATCATCCGCCAAAAATCGATTACGAAAACTACAATCGATTTTTATGGTTATGCTATAAACAACTATGTCACTTTAGTGTGACCAGCACAAGCGGAACCGAATATTCTTTTCCATATTCTCGATGTTTTAACGATACATCGATATCTTTATTATACTAAAAAATTACTATTATGTGTCTGTAAACGTGTAAAACGTATATTTACACGTGTAGATGTAAAATAACATAATGTTTGCAAAACATCGATAGTGCAAAAAACAATATCCAAATGTCGATAGTATCGATAGTGTTCTGATGTTTTACCAGAACTAAAACAAAGGATACGAAGGGAACAGGAAACAAAGGAACAAACACAAACCCAAGGATGACTAAGTTACCAGGAGGAAATCTGGAGTTTGTCCGGGAGGACGACTTCGTGGAGTACTACATATTCCCTAAGCTGCCGGATAACCTAGGAGATGAGGCACAGCTGCAGCAGCAGATGCTAAAAATCCGCTCGGAAATCTCGGCTATTGTGAAAGAAAAGACCCTTGAAAGAAGTTTCCTGTGGCACAAGGATGAGTTCCAGTTGCAGATCCGGACGGGCAGTGCCCAGGAGCGACTGTTGAACGAGGAGACCAACGTGGAGGAAGAAGAGGAGCTGGGTAAAGACGCTGCTTCTATAAATAGTTCATAAACAATGATTATTACATTTACATTCCATGTCCCCGCCCAGGTGACCTCCCGCCCCATTTCCACGGCGTAACCCATTACGGCGACAACATCAGCGACGAGTGGTTTATCGTGTATCTGCTTACGGAGATCACACGTGCTCGGGGAGATTGCATTGCCCGCGTCAGTGATTCGGATGGCGAGTTCCTGCTAATAGAGGCGGCGGACGCCCTCCCGGACTGGGCTTCGCCGGAGACGTGTGAGCACCGGGTTTACCTGGTTGGTGGGTGCTTGCAGCTGCTTCAGAACTCGGCGGCCAGTAGCCAAGAGAAATCCATCAGTATGGCCACAGCTGTCCAGCGCATCCGATTGAATCCCACCCTGTACCGCTGCTCCCGGGAAATACAGTCATGCATTGACGCCCGATTAAAGGAGTTCCAAATTGCCCAGCCACACTTTTCAATCCATCGCCAGGTTTTGGAACTACCGCAGAGCGCGGCACAGCTGCTGAAGCAACAGCCGCGCCTGGTGTCCGCCGCAGTAAGGGCATTTTGCGACCGGGACTCACTGGACACCAAGGCATTGCGCACCATGCGCTACTTCCCACCGGAGGCCAAGCGCTTGCGCACAAACGTGCGCTTCACCCGCTGTCTCTATGCGATGCTGATGCACCAACAGTACGTGCCGGAAAAGCGGCTGGGCTGGAACCTTACAGATGCCGTATCCCAACCGGAATTGTACAAGGAACAACTCATGGGCGTTAAGCTGGCCAGCGGACTGGAAATTCTGGCCAGCCAAGCCAAGCGAGTGGAGGCCCAGCAGCTGGAAGAGACGCCCGCGTGGCGGTCCTATCTGCGCAGCCTTCAAGGCAAGGGCTACTTCCGTGACAACATCGAGGGCAGTGCCGAATACCAGGAGCTCCTGGCCAAGGCCAAGGACTACTTTCGAGGTAACCAAGAGCGCTTTCGCACCGCAACACGCGTGGGTGCCGAGATCCTGGAACTGTTGCTTCATCCGGCGGAGGCAGCCTCCGAGGAGCTGCGCGACGAGGAGAACAACCTGCAGCCCAGCGACTCTGACGAGTGGCTGAACATCAGCGCCGAGGATCTGGACTCCATGCTGCAGGACCGCTACGGCCCGCAGAAACTCTACAAGCCGAATGGAGACATCAATGCCGAGGAGTTCACCAAGCAGCTGTCTGACTTTCTCGATCGCCAGTCCAACTATGAGGGCATCGAGCACCGTGGCCACGAGGAGCAGGAACTAGACTCGGACGACGATGATGAGCCCACGCAGCGGGCCAGAACCTCCACTTCCGGTCTGGGTTTCGGGGCCAAGGTGAAGAAGAATGCGTCCATGAGGAAGGCCTGTCAGCGCAACTCCCTCATTCAGACCGAGGAGCCGGACAGCACTCATGTGCGAAATTTCTTGGACTTTGTCATACCGGAGGACAATTGGGACTCCACATCGGAAATGAGCGACTACGCGGACGAGGATGATCTGGAGGGCAATCTGAAGGCACTAGCCGGCTCGGCAGCCGCTGTGTTTCCGCTGGACCGACAGATTCAGTCGTACATGCAGCAAATGGATCGCGAGCTGGCCCAGACATCCGTGGGCAAGTCCTTCCATGGGCAGAAAAAGAAGAATGTTGAGGATGAGGACGACTTTGATGACATTGAGGACTTTGAGCCCATCAATATCAATGTAAATACGCTTCGGAACATGATGGACAGCTACCAATCGCAGGTGGGCGGCGCTGGACCCGTCTCCAATCTCTTTAGCGCCATGGGCGTGGGCATGGCAGCCGCTGGCGCTGATCAAGAGCCCAAGGATCTTTCCGAATCGGCCGTTTAAACCGGATAAACAGGGATTATTCTAGTTCTTAAGACCGTCAAACAAAGTAAATGTGTAAAATTGATTGTAATATTTGGAGTATTCTCTTATATTTAAGCTACAGTTTTGATTCCTAATCCTTGGAGGCAGGCACAAAGTTTCCATAGTCGCGTCTCACCTTCATAGGTGGTTCGCCGCTGGGAGGATCGTGACGCGGGTTTTGGTCATGGGAACGCTTATGGCCGTCATGATCAGAGTGCGGACTGTTGTGGTCGTGCGACCGCTTGTATCCGCCAGATCCGGATCCTCCATCGTAGCGGTCCCGCCGATCTCGGTTATCGTAGCGGTTATTGTGTCTACGGTTATCTGTTCATATATAATTATATTCACTTATTAGTAGTTGATTCAGTCTACCCATAGAATCCTACCTCTGAATCTGTCGTGGTTGTTGTGGTAACCGGCTCCTCCACGTCTCTGCCATCCTCTATCGCCGCCGCCGCGACGGTGTCCATTGAAGCGGTTATATGGGTGATAGCCACCACCTCCTCCGCCCGAGAATCCACCACCACCTCCCCCTCCTCCACCGCCACCACTACCCATCCAGTTCTCAACGATTGGCGGTTCCGGCACTGGTTTGCTGCAGTGTGCCACAAACTCTGGGTCGTTGTCTGTAAAGCGGCCGGCGAACTCTAGTTCACAGGACTCCAGGAAATTGAGGTCCTTGTCCGCCAGGCGATTTATTTTTCTATTGGGGTCGACCATTATTTGATAATATTAATAACTTAATTCTTTTCGCGTTTTGTGTTCACTGCTTTGGGCGCATCAGCTGGGTCTGGACGAGCTCAGCAGAAACAGGGCACGTTCAGCTAGTTTCCGCAATTGAAAACGTATTTGTAAATTATTTGTTTGATTTTTCAGATAAAATGATGTACAAATTAAATGTTACTCAGCATATTATTATATTTTCCCCCTAAATAATATTAGGAAATTATTTAAAATATATTAATTAGCTGAACGTGCCCTGGAAGCATTATTTCTCAATGCAAACCTGGTCACACTGCTCGTAACATTGCGGGGGAGTTTTCCGCGGAAAAATGCCATTAATTAGCCAGTTTAACGGATTATGTGCCGCCTGCCACCAGTAGAGAGCAGAACATGTCCGCGCCTCGTGGCCACAGCCAACCAAGGATCCACACGCATACACAGAAGCGCGAGGAGCAGCACCACCACGTCAGTCGAAGAGGTGGTCGGAGCACGAGGAGTCTGCCCCAGCGCCGCCACTAGCCATGGAACAGTCCGTGTCCACCAGGTGGCTGCGACGCTACCGCGCCTTCTTTCTTGTCCTGCTACTCATCGTTGCCATCCAGCTATTCCTGGCCTACAAGTCCCTGGACATTGTCGGCGGCGGTTCTGGATCGGGACTGGACGCTGGTGAATCCCCAGCCCAGCCGCCGCCCCCGCAGGCTGCTGCACAGGTACAGCCAGCGGCCAGAACCAAGCTAACCGCCCAGCAACTGGGCTTCCAGCCCGAGTGCGACATTCTCGCTCGAGAGGCCATCTCTGCGCTGCAGCGCGCCAAAACGAAAGACTGTCGAGAACATATCGCGCAAATCGCTTGCGCTATCCAAGCGGGTCGATTCTATGCGCCCCAACTCCGGAGCAGCTGTCCCTCGGGCAACCACACGGCAAATGTATCGCTGGGCTGCTACAAGGACGAGAAGGACCGCCGCCTGCTCGCTGGATACTACAGCAGCTCGAAGACCTCAAATTCACCAGCCATATGTGTAGAGCTGTGCCTGCAGAGCGGTTATCCGTATGCGGGTGTCCAGTACGGACGGGAGTGCTTCTGCGGCTTCGATACACCGCCGCGGGCCGCCAAGCTGCCGGACTCTAGCTGCAACACCAAGTGCCTGGGCAACCCCAAGGAGATTTGCGGCGGCTTCTATGCCATGAATATCTACGAGACGGGCATAGCCAGTGAGTACTGTAGTTGCATTTTATTTCATTTGTATTGGAATTAGGAAAAGACAAACTGGAAGACAATATTTCCATTCGGGACTATTTTCTTCTAAGTTTCCTTTTCCTGTAATTCTCTTTAAAAAATTTCCAAATTTAACAATTAATAACATTTAATATATTTTATTCATACATTTAATTCCAATATCTTGCAGAGTTCACTGCCCAACTGGCGGCAACCACAACTCCACCGGCGGGTGTGAAACGCGTGCGGATCGCATTTCTGCTGACGCTCAACGGACGAGCGCTGCGTCAGGTGCATCGTCTGCTGAAGGCGCTCTACGCTCCGGAGCATGTCTACTACATACATGTGGATGAGGTGGGTCAACGGCCGGAACTTGGCAATTAAAAATGCGCGCGCGAAATTAATTGCGCTAATTAGCACAATTTGCAACGGCCAAAATAAAGACAGTCACTGAAATTGATTTATTTATGGTCTACCCAACCACAAGCTATTTAGTTTAAGCTTAAATGCCTTGAACTAGTTAGTTACTGGTTATGATAGCTATCTCGTTTAACGCGCAAATATGTATATACTATGTGCGCCGCATTTAGTTTACATTGTAAACTAATTGCAGATTTGCTCGGGTATTGTAAGATAACTTATCGCTGAGAGTCGCTCTCCGGCAAATAATGCCGGCAATAAAGCTTAAGGCTTATGGAATTTTTTATATAATTCATAATAATTAATTTATTTTCTTATTTATTACCCTTCAGCGCCAGGATTACCTCTACCGAAAGCTGCTAGAGCTGGAAACAAAGTTTCCCAACATACGACTCGCCCGCAAACGCTTCTCCACGATCTGGGGCGGAGCCTCGCTCCTCACTATGCTGCTTCAGTGCATGAAGGATCTACTGCAATCCAACTGGCACTGGGATTTTGTAATCAATCTCAGTGAGAGCGATTTTCCCGTGAAAACACTCGATAAATTGGTGGATTTCCTGAGCGCTAATCCAGGAAGGAATTTTGTTAAAGGCCACGGCCGGGAGACTCAAAAATTCATCCAGAAGCAAGGCTTAGACAAAACTTTCGTGGAGTGCGACACGCACATGTGGAGGATAGGAGATCGGAAACTGCCGGCGGGCATTCAAGTGGATGGCGGTAGTGATTGGGTTGCACTGTCACGAGCTTTTGTGACCTATGTTACCGATCCCAAAGAGGAGGATGAGCTTCTACAGGCCCTTCTTAAGCTATTCAGACACACTCTCCTACCTGCGGAGTCCTTCTTCCATACAGTGCTCAGGAATACCCAGCACTGCACGAGTTACGTGGACAACAATCTTCATGTGACCAATTGGAAGCGAAAGCAAGGATGCAAATGCCAGTATAAACACGTTGTGGATTGGTGTGGCTGTAGCCCGAACGATTTCAAGCCGGAGGATTGGGCCAGGCTGCAGGCCACGGAACAAAAATCATTGTTCTTCGCCCGCAAGTTCGAGCCGGTGATAAACCAGGCGGTGTTGCTGCAGCTGGAGGAGTGGCTGTACGGCCCATACACCAGCGAGTACGCCAATCTTCACGGCTACTGGCAGTCCCTCTATCATCACGAGGATGTTCATGGATCTGGTGATGATCTGGCTAGGAGCATAGGCGACAGCGTTATGCGATTATCTGCACGCCAGGCCAAACTAGATGCCCTGGAGCTAATAGAACTCACTCACTACCTTCATCGCGATCAGTACAAAGGCTTTGTGGTCCGGTACAGAGCCAGAAAGTTATCTGGACAACCACTTCATTTGGAGACACGAGTGCGTCCCGTGCAACAGGGCAAGCTGGCGAGGAATGCCCGTTTCAGCAAGAGATTGCGCAACTTTGAGGTCTCCACGGACTTTGATCAAAAGGAGCAGGTGGCCCGAAACTTTGCGAAGCTCTTGGGTCCCCAAAGTGAGCTCCTCCTGAGCTATACACTCCAAGCCACATCGGACACGGGTGCAGCTTCCCACTCATACAACCTCACACTGCTGTGGATCGATCCTTTGGGTCGCCTGCAGGACTTTAATGAGCTGCATGTGGAGGACTCTTCCAGCGATGTGATCAATCACTCGAAAACCCTGCTCAAACACCCCCTCACACCCGGCATCTGGACAGCCAAGTTAATAGGACGTAGCTCCATCTATGCGCAGCTCAAATTCCTAATTTCCCCGCTCGCCTACCACAGGGGCTATCCCCTGGAGAATTCGTCAGAGGCAGAGCAGCTCAATGCAGGCCTAACAGTAGCCCTTCCCGAAGATTTCGAAGTGCCCGTTGAGTGGCAACAGTACCTTCATACTGACGACGAACAGTTCATTCTTCGCGAAGAATCCCTGGCCAAGGGGAAAATGTTGGGTCAGGAGCTGCACAGTTGGATTGACGGATTGGTGGCAAAGTTCTTTCAACTTCGCGAGAGCTGCGTGGTGGAGAGCGATGTCGCCGATGTGTCCCTCCCGCTGTGCAGCGACGTTTCGTGGAGCTCCTTGGCTCCCGATCCCAAAAGCGATGTAGATGCTCTGCTTAAATGAGAGCCATTGCCAGCCATTGATCAATATTTGTTATTAATTCTCTAGTGTAAATATTTGCCAGGATCTAACCACTTTTTATAGCTCTTTTTCCTTCTCCTCGATGTTCGTTTTTCTGTCTTTTATAGATTATTGTGATAATTGTGAACTAGTGCAACCAAGCGCCATCTTGACTGGACGTGGTTTTCCACCGCTCCACATTTAATTTGATTTTTAATAGTAACAATAATTGAGCATAGCATTTTGCCGTTTAGCCACGTAAGTTAGAGATTCGATCGCCTTGTAAATACGCAACGCACACTGGACACCAAATGAACGCATTGCAGCCAAATATCGTGGAGGCAATCCAGAGTTAGCTGTACATAAGGTTAGCTAGACGCAATATTCCTTAACTAAGTCATAAGTTAGGGCACACCACCAGATAGCAATTGATTGGAATAGCTGCATTTGCATTCACAGTTTTCTTCGATTTTTTGATTCACATATCAAGTTATCCAAAATAATAAATGAGCAATTCTACGTGTACTATGTGGTCGTTCAAAGATTCATTGATTCAAATCTCCTCCTTCTCCGTTAAAGTTGAACACCCCTGGGGAAAAATGGGGCCGGAATTCCAGGTATTCTTGATGTATTTAGTAGGTTAGACTTATGTAGACTTAAAGCCAAGGCTATTTTGTACTGCCGTTTAGCTGCCGGCGGCAGGCAGCCCTTAGATGCAGAGATCCTCATCCGGATCCTCCTCGTCGAAGTCATCGTCGGCATCGGGTGTGTAAATTATGTTGCCCTCGGACGGTTCGCTTGTGCTGGAAAAAAGGTTTTGTTAGATTGCTCTTCAAGTACATACTCTTTACCATTACTAATTTTACCGTTCATATGGCAGGGTGAGTGCATTGCGGGCCACCACCTCATCTTCGTCTAGCTCGATCTTAAAGGTGCTGCTGGCAGGCTCCGGTGTTTGTTCTACTTCAGGCGATGCTTGCTTGTTAGGTGAACCACCTACTGGGCTGAGACCTCCACCTCCTCCATCCAGTGGAGTCACCTGGAACTGGGTTTTGCTGACCTGACAGGCATAGCGCTTGTTGGTCACCCCTCCACCTGGCTTGCGTGAGATCAGCGACAGTCTGGTGTCTGTCTCAAGGCGCAACACCAGTTCTGCAAGGTACTCGCACCCAGCTAGGATGTAAGCGGCATGGGGATGCTGCAGGTGCTGAGGAGAAGCCCAGAGGAACACCCGACGGACGTGCTCAGAACGACGCAGCCGGTTAAGGAAGCCAAAGATGAAGGCGGGCGACTGGTAGCACAGCAGATCGGCAAGCGTTGGCAGGATGACATTGTAGCCAGAGGTCTTGGAGGCCGAGGCATCCAAGTCTCCCGCTTCCACCGACTGAATGCTGCTGTTGTTGTTATTGTTGATGTTGTTGTAGTTGGCGCACTCGGTGACCAAGGCGTCAAAGCTGGCCACGTGCTTCAGGTGAATACCGGCTGGCATTGCCTTGATAGTGTCCGCCCCCTGTCCCTGCTCGTGCAGCAAACTGCCGATGAACTTGGGGGCAATGCGCTCCCGATTTAGCTCATCTGTAAGTGGATGTCGCGGGGGACAAGGGCACGAGAGGTTGTTAGATTATTGGCAATCGACGGTGTCTACTTTGGCTTACCTATTACGAGGACGACCTTCTGTTTGGTCACCACCAGGTTGGACAGCATTTTAATTGTTAAACTTTTGATTCAAGAATTGTTAATTGTGCTGCTTTTTTGTGTGCGCCAAAATGCCAAAGTGCTTGTGGATTTGATATGCGTCATGAGTTGGTCACACTACCACAATTGGGTTGCCAGGGCTGCCAAAAAACTACATTTAATTTAATAACTTTATGAGTCCTATTTTTTATCTTGAAATTTTGCATTTCTCTATAAATTCGATTTAATCAAATATGTTAGAAATGCTTTTTATTTTTAATATTTTTGAAGCTTTTAACTTCTTTGCTGGTGGTTGTGCCGCCCTGGCAGTCCCGTTTGTTTCCAGATGAGTAAACAGTAAAAACAAAGCAATGCGGCTAAACAGATCGAATTACACAGCCCTTTGATAGTGAAAGTCTGACCTTGAATTTAAATGCTTATACTTAATTAAGTGACAACAAATACGCTAAATATGAATGGAAGCAGATGATCGGATGTTGACGTTGTAAAATTCGCGTTGCCCCCTTTTTTTTTCTTGCCAAAATATATGTGATCTCTTTGTGTTCGTGCGGTTTTTGTTCTTGTCTGTTTTTTTTTAGCCGCGTGTCTTATTGGACATCCCAAATTACTGTATATTAATTAAATATACAAACTGTAAGTAGAAAATGTTGCATTTTAGCCACGTTTATGAAAGTAGTTAGTAAACAAATACAACTAGGTTTCGGCTTTTCATTAATATCTAACAAGTGGTTGTAGTTCTCGCTCTCTCGCTCTTTCTTTCTCTCTGTATATCTGCTAGAGTATGTTAGTATGTATGTACAGTTTCGTTTGAAAGTTTGTTGTGTACCGCAAGTGTGTATGAGTGTGCATGGGTTTTTACCGTTCTGAGCTTGCAATGAAAAGCTTGTTTTAAACGAAAGGGCCCGAAACAGGGAGGCGGAAAGGGGCTTTGCTTTCAGGGCTTTCACGCCCACATGCAGCGCCTTTGCAGACGAATTTTCCACCGCCTTTTCTCCATATGGCAGGTTACAGCTTCCTGCATTGCAGGCCGTTAGTTCAACAAGTAAAGAGTGTTTTTCTGGAGTCGCGTATAAGAAAATCTACGCAAAAAAAAGAGTGCAAAAACCCAAAACGTCATCGCTTTAAAGACTTTAATTGGGTGCTAAAAGATAAGCGAAGGCGGTGTTAAAACCAGACATTATCTACGGAGCGGAGCAAATCATTAAATTACGCCATGTTATTCTCACTGGGTGAGTGTATGTAAATACAGTATTACTTCAGTGTACCAAATCGAATAGGAGTGAGCAAGTGGAAGGTGTTATAAATGGATATAGAAAAATTTGGATGGGTGACACTTTCTTAACTCGTAACTCAGCCAAAAATGCATTCATTTCAATTCGGAAAACTTTGCTGTGCTAGATTTTTGCAGCTTTATTAATCAGCATCCCAAAATTGGGAATTTAAAATTCAAAATTTTTTTTTAATTTTAAAAAATTTTAACAATGTTGCCCCTTGTAAAATTTGGAAAAATGGCAAAAAAATTTCTTATTACCGGACATGCCCAGATCGATTCTGCTTTTGATGCTGATCAATATATATATGCTTTATAGGGTCGGAAATGAGTCCTTCACTGCGTGGCAATCTTCTGACCCTGCAAGGGTCGCGTTCACTCTTTTGAACTTCCACTGTACTCCTCTTTTAGGATTCTATAACTTCAAGTTATCTACGATTCTGGTTTCGAGTTTAATAAGTTCTACTGCATTATTGTTATGCATAGAACATTAAAGTCAAAGCCAAAGCCGCAATTGAAATGCAGGCAACTCGGTCGGTGACAACAATAATAGTTTGAATGGAGCTGAGGAATGCAAAAATAAAATAAATCCCCACTACACCCACCACCTCCTCCCCTTGATCCGGACTAGTCAAAACAACCTGGTCCGGCATACTAACCAGCATTTCTTGGCACCCATCCATCCCCCGCTATTGGAATTAACATCAAAAACCAAACAATTATCCCGAACAGCGAAGAAAAATCGCATGCGATACGTTTGTGGGTGCGGAAAAGCTTTTATTAACCAAAGCCGGGCGGCGGCTGGAAAACTTTAAACTCAGTTGCGCATTGCACGCCGAGCAGTTCGGTTGGCCAAATCGTTGTGTTTCCTCGTAATTAGTGTAGCTTTCTCCCCTTGCCGTTGTTGTTGTTGCAGCTCTCGTGTCTTAACGCTGACCAATTGCATGTGTTTTTGTGGTTAATTGTTTGCTGGTGAACTATTGATTAATCCGTGCACGGACAACAACACAGTCATGTCTAAGGACTCGGACGTAGAGCAGGCGGTAAAGGAAATCAAAGTGGAGCCCGCTATGACGCAGGAATCACCTGCAGCGCCGGCGGCAGCTCCTGCCACAGTCTCCACCGCTACCACGGTGATCGCTGTGACCAATGGAGAAAAGCCAATGGAAGTGACACCTGCAGCAGCAACATCAGCAATACCAGCAGCAGCAGCAGCAGCAGCGACAGCAACAGCAGAACAAGTGCAACCAGCAACAACTATTGGAGGCATTGAATTGGCAGCAACGGCAACAGGTAGACGACAGTGAATGGCATTGGCTTGGGCTTCAAGTTTGATTAGTGCAAAGTAAAATCAGCTAGCAAACAGCAACAGTTAAAAACACAGTGAAAAATTCAACATAATTTTTAATTAGCAATTCAATTGCATTTGCTGAGAACTGTTAATGCTAGAAATATCCTTATGAAGATGGTTTACTCTCCTCTGAAGTAGAGGGAATTAATAGTGGGTTCGAGTCTACTTTTTGCTTTGTTTCCGTCCGTGTTTTCACCACCGTTATTATATTCTATAAAACTGCAATGATATTAATAGATTTTAGTGAATTTTAAACCGCTTTTACGCATTTTGTAAATACATTTTTTTGCTGTGCAAAATGTAGTTTTTAGTAAAAGTTAAAGCAAACGCACCATGCCAGATCGAGAGAAAAGACCGTCTGCTGCAATCCCTCCCACTTCACCTCCTCTTTTCACCCGCCTCTCATCACGACTCATCGCAACTAGCTGAATTTCACTTTAGTTTTTCAGCCTTTTTATTTATTTACTTTTGCTGTCTTCGAATTTTTACGCTTTTCCAAAGTCGTCATCGTCGCCCGGACGGTGGGTCTGCTCGGCGGGCCCCGAGTTTTACTTTCTGTGCGCTTATGTAGATTGTTTCTTTTTTTCAAATTTTGCGCACGATCTGCTGCAACGCTTTGCTGCTCATCAGCAGCAGCAGCAGCAGCAGCTAACAAACTAACAAAGAGCCATGCAGCGGCGCCTGGGCACGCCCACTTAACCCTAATTATTAACAATCATAATCGCAATTAATGTTCCAATTAATTTCACTCTCCAAAGACGAGGGACCCGACACGATCCCCAAGTCTAAATGGAGCAAAGCGGAGCAGTCGAATTTATTGAATAACTGGGGACGCGACGCGTGGCTGCTGCCATTTATATACATAGGCATTTATAATTGCAATTGCACATTGGCTACAAATGTCTCTGGCCCACTTATCAGTCAATTTACAAGTTAACAGCTACCAAACGGGGCTTATTTGTAGTTTGATCGAGTTTGAAGTTGATTTGAGCAGCATTTGCATACAAAACTTTAATTAGCTTGGCCCTTACAGCGAGTGCGAGTGCACTTGGAAAATCAGATATCTTATTCTCACAGAGTGCTAGTGCTCTTGGAGTTAATTATAAATCCTTTACAGAATAAGATCTTTTCGTTTTACCATAAAAGCTTCTCATTGCCTCCATGAATGGAATTTTTTAATTTATTTAATGTGCCATTTGGCCAAACATCAAATATTAGACACAAACTTGCTAGATGCTATTTAAAGCGCTTTAATATCAGATGGTTAGACTATCTCGAGAACATGCTGATAACACTTTTCCGGCTGGCAGATAAAATGCGGAAAAACTCTCTCGTTCTATAGCGGCTGGCACTGAAATTAATGTTGGGTAAACAAAATAAAAGTGTTTACTCATGAATTAGCCAAATTAGGCCTGCTGAGTGGCCCGTGGAGATGGGATTGAGATTGGGGCTGGGCCGTTGAGGGGTGTCTGAATGATTTTCCTCATAAATTTCTAGCCCCATCCAATATGTTTAGATCTGGCCGTATCGGATTGCTGGCGACAAAGGAGCTCGTTGTTTGTTTTTGTGGAACAAGTGCAGCTGGCCGTGGATCGATGATCCGGATCGAATAATCTGCACAAAAAACAAATAAGTAGTAAACATAAATACCTCCAGAAAACTCCAAACTCAAGTAACTTATAAAATAAAGAGATCTCCATGGAAAAAAGGGGCTCCTTAAAAATTCAAAAATTATGACAAGGAAGATTTCAAATTTAAAAGATTATCCGTTCAGAAAAAAAACTAAAATAAATAATTAAAAAAAAGGAAATTGCCTATGTTCATGTCGAGTACAGAATAGATTTTAAGAAATTCCTGAATGTCAGTCAGTCGGTTAACTTGATTTAAGGGCCACATTTCAATTTGATTATAATCTTACGACAACAGCCTTTGATAATCGCCTGTTATCAAAACGGTTTTAAGGTTATTTGAATCTATGTTGGGTGGTAATTCTAATTGGCTAAAAGTAAGGGCACTAACCGAAGCTACAAACGAAATACATGCATACACACAATGTACTCTCGAAATCTATACCCTTGAGTTCTGCGATTAGATCGCAAAAATGCGCGGAATGCGTAATAATGTTCATTCAATGGAATCTATTTTTAAATCCTATCCCAATTTCAGGCAACGGAAAGGCCAACATGGACCCGGCGCTGATCAACTTTAAGGTGCTCTATGTGCTCACCCAGCTGTGCGGTTTGACGATGATCGTCCTGGTGGGCACTTGGATTGGACAGCATTTTGGCGGCCTGGGCGGAACCGCCAATCCTAAGCTGGAGTTCAACTGGCATCCGCTGTTCATGACCATTGGTTTTATCTACTTGTATGGCAACTGTAAGTGAATGCCGCACTGGCAGCGGAAAAGGTGCCACCATTCCACTCCCATTGATTAACTCCAATCCCATGGCTTTACCCACAGCTATACTGATCTACCGCGGCTTCCGCACCACGCGCAAGAAGACACTGAAGCTCACCCACGCCGGCATCCACATGGCCGCCTTCATTCTCACGGTGATTGCCCTGAAGACGGTCTTCGATTCGCACAACCTGGCCAGTCCGCCCATTCCCAATATGTATTCGCTGCACTCGTGGCTGGGCCTCTCCGCGGTGATCGTCTTCTCGCTACAGTATGTTGCCGGCTTTGTGGCTTTCCTGGCCCCTGGTCTGCGGGAGAACTACCGGATTGCGATGATGCCGTTGCACATCTATTTTGGTCTCTTTGGATTTGTTCTGGCCATTGCCAGCGCCCTGATGGGTCTCACCGAGAAGGCCATATTTGCCATGTGAGTATGATTCGGTTCTTGTCTTTAAAATAGCTATTAACTCTATATTTTTCAGCACCAATCCCCCGTATTCCACACTGCCGCCTGCTGGTGTCCTAGCCAACGTAATTGGCGTTCTGTACGTGGTCTTTGGAGCCTTGGTCGTTTACCTGGCCACGGAACCCTCGTACAAACGCAAGCCCATACCCGAGGATACGGCTCTGCTGAACTCTAGCCCCGCCAATGAGTAAGGATCATGCGACCAGACCCCAAAACCAGCTGCTTTGCGTACATAAGCTGACGAAACTGTGCACAAAACCAAACCAAACCGAAACCTGATTACACGAATGGTGCTTTTTGTTGAGGAAGGAAGATGGAGGTGGAAATACGTGCTGTTTGTAATTGTCGAGATGCATGTTTAATCCGTTGCATATATATAACTTAATGACTATGTATGATTCTGAATTATCCACATACGTATACTTGGATCACCAGTTGTTCAAAGTTGCATATATATAACTTAATGACTATGTATGATTCTGAATTATCCACATACGTATACTTGGATCACCAGTTGTGCAAAGATTTCAGCGAGTGCTCAAATCTAACTTACTTAACCTCATGCAGAACATTTGCTTTAAACTGTATCTATGTTATGTGTGTTATGTCTAAATAAATAAATCAATATTGATACTAGTCCAAGCTGTTAATCAGATTCCCATATGCCCTCAAGAAGACTTGAAATATTCGAATTATTCAAATCAATCTATCTAGATGGAATAGCGATAAAACAAGAACAATTTACAATAACAAAAGAGAATGGAAAATACATTAACCTAAACGATAAAATTTAATTCGAATTTAAATAGATTCAAAGTTCCCGCCATATCATGCCGATCAGTTGCCGCAATGTAAATTAACCGCCAAATTTGAATGCGCATTTAAATAAACGATCATTGCACATTTTCAGTTACTTAAATAGATTCAAAGTTCCCGCCATGTCGTGCCGATCAGTTGGCGCAATGCAAATTAACCGCCAAATTTGAATGCGCATTTAAATAAACGAAAAGTTGGCGCCTAATAGTCAAAAGCAAAAAATGTTGTTTTTGTAATTTGTTGTTGTTCTAAAATGGTTGTTGTTGTTGTTATTTGTTGTTAAATAATTGTTGTTGTTGTTGTAGGCCATGCGGACGCTTCAAATTGGCTAAAAATCAACGATTTCAGGTTTCAGATACCAGGCGAACAGAAAGCAGCAGCAAGCTGCTGAATTTTTGACAGGCAAGGGCTGCCAGATCGATGGCATATGCGATCGATCCGGCAACATTGACCAATTAAGCGTTGCCAGATCGATAGAAAGTTCCGCCAATCCGGCAACGCTGTTCGACCAGCGTTACCGGATCGATGGCATGCGCGATCGATCCGGCAGCCCTTGCCTGTCAAAAATTCAGCAGCTTGCTGCTGCTTTCTGTTCGCCTGGTATCTGAAACCTGAAATCGTTGATTTTTAGCCAATTTGAAGCGTCCGCATGGCCTACAACAACAACAACAATTATTTAACAAATAACAACAACAACCATTTTAGAACAACAACAAATTACAAAAACAACAATTTTTGCTTTTGATTATAAGGCGCCAACTGATCGTTTATTTAAATGCACATTCAAATTTGGCGGTTAATTTGCATTGCACCAACTGATCGGCATGACATGGCGGGAACTTTGAATCTATTTAAGTAACTGAATATAGGCAAATTGAAGCGTCGTTAATGCCAACAACAACTAGAACAATTATTTAACAACAAAGTACAACAACAATTTTACAACAAAAAATTACAAAAACAACACTTTTTGCTGTTGACTTTAAGGCGCCAACTGATCATTTATTTAAATACACATTTAAATTTGGCGGTTAATTTGCATTGCGGCAACTGATAGGCCTGACCTGGCGGGAACTTTGAATCTATTTAAATAACTGAAAATGTGCAAATTGAAGAACAGCAAAAATAATTATTCTACACTAACTTACGACAACAATTTACAAAAACAAAACAAAGAACATGTTTGATAAATTTTTTATGTAGATTTAGGGTTTCTGATGTTTGGAGGCTTTGATTTTTTATTTTTTATTTAAATCAATATTAGACAGTCGCTACCTTAAAGGTGCAAAATACGATAATCAAATACACAGCCCAATATTTTCATCTCCTTTCTTGAACGCGTGGATACCTTTTTTATTTTTTTTTTAAATATACACGGAATGCCTTAGATCTAATCTCTGGTAATTTCAGCTAGTCTTCTTTGGTTCCTGCGGTGGGTCGGTGTGGCAGGAACTCGTAGTCTTTGTCGGTGCCAATAATGTAGGTGGGTATGTCGCCACGTCCCTTCACAAAGGTCATGCCACGGTAATTGCACTGGATGTTGAACTCTCGCAGCTTGAGGGCCGTGTTTTCGGTGACCTGTATCTGTCCAGGCACACCGGTAGAGTCCATGCGCGAAGCCATGTTGACGGGATTGCCCCAGATGTCATAGTGCGGCTTAGAAATACCCACCACGCCGGCCATGGCCCGCCCGTGGGAAATACCGATCCGGAGCATTCCATAATCGGTGCTCCCCGCGTACTCCGTCTGCATATTTTCCGCGTTGAATCGCCGCATCGTCCGCATCAGATCCAGGGCAAATTCGGCCATTACCCGGACCACCTCGCTGCCGCTGTTGCTGCCGCTCTGCGTGGTGCTAATCCGCGGCTGATTCGTCACCACATTGCCCTCGTACTGACCCCTCTCTAGATCGAGATCCAAGGCGATGTTGCTTCCGTTTCCGTACGGCACGCGCTGCACTCCATCTGCATTGGAGCTACGGGCTCCGTCGTAGCGACTTCTTCGTCCATTGGGCATGAGGGAGACGTTGCGGAACTTCATCTGGGGCGCATTAACCTGTTCCGAGCGGGAGACGTCCAGGCCACAAGCTGCCATGTACGTCCAGTTGGCCACCTTGATCTTCTCCACTCGCAGGGACTGGGAGTATTTGTTCAGCTAAAAAAAAGGATTTAAAATAAATATTCAGTAAGAATTTATGGAGAAATTATCTAGAGAGAGCAATTTCTACTTTTGATACAATTTAAGATAAGATTGCTCACTCTAAATTTCAACAAACTGTAAATGGGATTCACCGAGGGAAAGCCACAACTACTAACCACATCATCAAAGTCACAGATGATCTCGTTAAGGACCCGCAGTCCAATCTTATCGGTGTCAAAGTTCTTGATCGAGGCAAACATCACGGCCACATTGTCGTATTCCTCGTAGTAGAGTTCGTTCTGCAGTTGGTTTGATAGATAAAAGTCAGCTGGAAGAGGGAATCAAAGGCATAAGTAAAGTTTTATCAACTAATTTGGTTAAGGACCTACCAACGTGAGAGGGTAAAATGTTGGTTAGAAGCACCTTGATGGTGTCATTGGTGATCAGAGCATCCTCCTGCTTTTTCAAAAGTTGCCGCTTCCAGCTGTTGAATAATAATAATGATGAGTATGCCAAGACTTGGATAATATACTCACTTGTAGTCCACTTTGGCTATGAACTCCGTTTGGCGCTCCATCAAGTGGAAGATGCCCAGCGTGATGATCATCAGCAGGATGTGTGAGTACCGGGCATTGAAGTTGACGTTGGTCGAAGGACTGCTTGAATAAATATAGTTAAATTCAAACACCACCAGAGCCGCATAGGCAAACGTGATCAGAGCGGAGAAGCAGGCCTTGACGATGAAGGGTATCCTTGTGAAAAGGAAGGACATGCCAATGATCAGGGTCATGCAGTTGGTGAGAATCTGTAGGGATAGGTTTGCTTAATTAATACGTTGATTAGAGATTTGTGTAGCATTCACGTACCCAAGGATGAAAGCATTGCACTCGCTCCTCTATACTCGGATCATCGTCCATGTAATCGTCTTCACTGCTGCATCCCACCACTTGCATTATTGCCACAGCCACATACGAAAAGATGATCAGAAAGTAGATCACAATCCGGATGTAGACATTGCGTTGCATTACGTCCGACAGGTGGAAGAGGAAGCCGCTGAGGCTACTATTTGGAGTGGTCATCTCTGCATCCGAGACGTACATTATCCAGAGCTTCTTGTACCAGGATACAACCAGCAGCATGGTCAGTAGAATGATTGTAGTGCCATCTATGTACCAATAGTGATAGCGGGCACTAAAAAGAGGGGAAAACCAATAGTAATTATTGGAGGCTTTCGAGGTTGCATTATCCAGGCTCACTCACTCCTTGCTCAGCAACTGAATTGTGAGCAGACCCATGTAAATGGCCCACGACAGGGCAATGCTATACTTGAGCATCACGTCCGGCTCCTGCATGTACTGGAACTCCCAGTTGCGGATGCGGAAGAACAGGCAAAAGGAGCTAATGTTGCGACGAAAGGTCTCCTCCTCGATTTCGTCCTGGGTTAGGCGCGTGCTCCGCCTAAATACTTTTGTCAATCTGAAAATGATATATATTAATACCAAATTTTTCTCAAATAAATATACATATTCCTTTTTACTTACTGTATACGGCCGATGGGCATCTTGTCCAGCTCACGGCACATCTCGAGCTTGGCCTGGTTGCGCACCTGGTTGTACTGGTGCAACGTGGAGTTGTGCATGAAGTTCGCCTTGCTGGCCTCACTCAACTTCTTCGCCTGGCGCTCCCGCTGTCTGCGTCGCGGGTCATGCATGGGGGCCTACAACTTTCGGTTGAATGTAATGCAGGCGGTCATTGAGGTTATCCGGGTGAGCCCGGGGCCATACTCACCCGCAGCGACTTGATCAGAAAGGTCCGAATGCCGTGCTTCTGGAGCACCGGATCCTCGCGGGCCTTCTCGGTGCCATCTTCAAAGAAATACTCGCCATCCAGCAGAGAGAGTGTCTTCTGGCTTACGTGCACCCGTCCAGTGGCTCCAGTGGCCTCCAGTCTGTTGGCTATGTCCACATCCTTTGACCAGATGTCGAACTGCCACTTGGCAGCACCTATTACGCCGGAGAGTACGTCACCGGAATGGACTCCGATTCGCATGTCAATATTTAGGTGCCGTTTGACCCTAGTTTAAATCAAAGAAAATATTTATGAATAAATATATAACAATAAGAGAAGCTATAAAAATGAAAAATCATAGTTTTTCATGCCGTTTTTCTCTGCCTAGCTCCTAGCTTAATTTTCGGTTTACAACACTGCTTTAAATTTATTGCCAATATTATACAAATCATTTTCTTGATAATACTAGGCATTCCTTTTCGAAGTCATTCATACTTTCCCAATGATTCCAGCTTTTAAATTTGATTAAAGAGCTCTCTCCTAATCGCGTTATCAATAATCACGGTGCTCCATGTGATAAAAACGGCAATCAGTTGTGACTAATTGGAACTTGGCTAATGACTTTTATAGTAACTTTATTCGAATACATTAAAGGGAAAAGCTATTAACATATATTTTACTCACCTGACATCGCGAATGTCCTTGATCATCCGCAGGCCCAGATCCACGCAGCACTTGGCGTGATCTGCATTGGGATTGGCCAGTCCGGCCACACAGTAGTAGCAATCGCCCAGGAACTTTATTCTCAGCACGTTGTACTCCTCGCTGGCAATGTCGAAACGCACAAAGAGATCGTGCAGAGCTTCCACCAGCTTCTTCACATCCAGAGTGGTGGTCAAGTGGGTGTAGTTCACCACGTCGGCATACAGGACCGTTACATCATTGTGCGGCTCAATGAAGAGGGTGCTGCAATAAAGAGAGTAGAGCTGTAGAGAGTGGTTCCAGAGGGGTAACATCAACTCACCCGTCATTCGGCTGACGCCACCGTTTAAGGGTCTGGCTGTCGGCACTCCTTCGCAGATCCATCTGGGATCGCTGTTGGTGCTGCTGCTTGGACCGCTCGATGCGGTTCTTCACGTCCTCCTGCAGTCGATCGGCTATCTGGGCCGGCAGGATACTCAGCAACAGGCTTCGCTCCTGATCCCTGGCATAGCGCAGCAGTAGATTCTCCTCCACGTACTGACGACGGTCCAGAAAGGTCGTGCGCAGGGCAATATCCCGCATCAGGCGGAAGAAAATCCCCAGCAGGTTAACACAAATCAAGTAGATGGCCTCGTTCATGATGCTGTGCATCTGGTTGTCATCCTTGGCCGTAATCACAAAACTATAGTTGATGATGTAGCACAGGGTAACGGCTGATCCCAATACGATGGGCTGCAGCAAATATGGGACCGGCATGAACATGTATATGGCGTACAGAGTGTACGCATCGTAGATCGGATTCAGTATGTCGTTGTGGCTGGTGGCATGGTAGACATTCAGGCCAATGTCCATCAGAACCATCACACACACGGCCAGCCAGGAGGAGGCGTACACCACCCAGCCATGTTTGCTAACCAGCTCGCTGCGGAAGTTCACCGAGAGCACCAGCCAGATGACCAGGCCGGAGCACATGTAGGCCACCATATCAACGTACACGTATGTGATCTCCGGCGTGGTCAGCAGGAGCAGAGTGTGAATCACGGTCACTCCCACCTGGATGAAGATAAACAGGGACAGGTAGCCAACGCGCAGGCGGCGCATGTACAGATCGTAGGATTCCTCAAGCTCCAGGTTACGGCATTTTCGCTGTAAAGAAGGTAAATCAGGTTATTAATAATAATAATATTTTTATACTTTTTTCAGGGGGTATTTTAATTTTGGCAAGTGAAGGAGTCATTTCCGACCCTATAAAACATATATATTCTTGATCAGCATCAACAGGCAAATCGTTCTAGGCATGTAGGGAAGAAAATTAATTTTTGTCGATTTTTTCAATTTTTGTTAAGGGGTTACATCGTTCAAATTTTCATAAATTGATAAAAAATTTCAATTTTTCTACATTTTAAACTGAGTATGCAGATTTGTTAACCCAATAAAAACTAACATAGGAAAACTTTCCGAATTAAAATTAGTAAATTTTTAACGTAGTTATGAGGTTTTTAAACTTTGATTTTAGGAAAAAAAAGTTTGCTATAAAAATATAGATAAATATCTACTAATAATATGGCATTATTATTACTTTTAGTCAAAAGCTTATAGCTCTGAAAGGAGTCATTTCCGACCCTATAATCCATATATATTCTTGATCAGCATCTAAAGGCGAATCTTTCTAGGCATTTAGAAAATAAATTTTTTTAAAAATTTTGTTTAAAAATTTTATAAGGGGTTACATCATTAAAATTGTCAAAACTTGGGAAAAAAAATTTAATTTTTGCAAATATTAAAATTAGTATGCAGATTTATTAACCTATCCAAAACTAAGACGGAACAGCTTTCCGAATTGAAATTGATACGTTTTTGACTAAGTTATGATATTTTTTAACTTGTCTTAGTCCCAAAAAAAGAGTTTTTATCGATTTAAAAAATTCGCATATTTCAGATTGACAATATTTATGCCTTTAAATGGTATTCATTATAAAAAACTATGTAAATGAAAACCTTCTCCCAAGAATTTGTACATGTCGGTTCCAAAACATCCCTTTATAGCATTATAGAAATAAATAAAAACTCTGTAGAAGTGATTCCCTGATGATCCCCCATTGTACTCACCACCAGATATGACCACTCCCAGTTCTTTTCATTCTGCACGGTCTGAGCCTGCTCACTGGATCTGGCCAGTGAGATGGGATTCGTACGGTTGTACTCGATGGCCGAGTCGAAGTAGGAGTTCATGGTGGCACCGGCTGGCTTCGGGTCCAGGTCAGAGGTCGGGTGTCAGGGTGTCAGAGTGTCAACACCACTGAAGCGGTATCATTTTCAGCAAACAGCAGCTCTCAGGCACAAATCCGCAATCAATCCCCCGACTGCTCGCTGCTCACACTTGATATCAGGTCAAACAATTAGCCACCAAAAGTCCCCCAAATAAGCATTGAATCAGTCCGGAATGGAGTGCTTATCGGAGTGAACAAAAAAAGCGACAAAAAAGGGAGGGATTTCGATTTCGATTTGGGGCTACGAGCTTTGTTATTGGTATTTGTTCGCTTCTGCTGCTGCCGCTGTTGATGGCTGTCTGCAAAAAACAAAAACAATAACAAAAAACAGCAGCTAATTTAGCAATTTGTCTAATGTGTTGTTGATAGTGTGCTAATGGTCTGTAAATCACACTCACTCGCATGTGTGCAGCATTATCAGCTGCAGTTTGGATTGGCAGCTGGGAGTCAGGCAAAGGATCACGGGCTTTATATGGCCGTGTAATTTATTTATTGGCTCTCTGGCGCTGCACTTGAGGCCTACTTGCTTGCACACTTCACTTTCACGCTGGCCAATAAATACGATAATAATTAATAAAAAATTAACACCACTTAAGCGCGTAGCGCTCGAACAAGCCAATACACGGCGGACAGGTATCACAAATTACTCTTTTTGCTGTTTGCTGCGACCGCGATAAGCACTCGCCCCGATTCCGTTCGATTCCGTCCCACAAATTTTAGCCGGAGGAAGTAGATATTGGCGACCGGACCCGGCTACGATGCGATGCGATTCCGACGAACTGCTGCGACCAACTGAGGGGCCGCCGCCACTCACTCAGGTGAGTTTCCACCTGCCGTCACTGTCGCTCCCCTTCGGATTGTTGTTGATCGCTGAGTGTTTGAGTGCCTAGTGCTGGGAGCTCTTATCAAGTGTGAAAAGTGTTTGGCGGCGCTGGCGCTTGATTGGTGACACAGCGGCGGTGCGTTGCGAATTCCCCCTGGGTCCAAAGCAAATAGTTTCATTTAATTTAAATATTTATTTTATTGCACTTTATGTACTCACCCCATTTGATATCCATTTTGAATATTAGCGCCTTGGCTGCATTGTCCTCTGGGGGTTTTCTTTCGATAAATATTGTGTTTTCATCCCTGGTTGATGATTGCGCGTGCTATCGATATATCACTATTTGAAAATTTCTGAAAGTAAATAACAAAATTTTCAATCAGTATTGCCTCGGTTATAACTTTCAAATGGTTTATCAAACGGCTTCAGTTCAGAACCATTCAAAAACAATACAAATATTGTAGGAAATTTACGGAGAAAAATTTAAGTAAGAATATTTTTTTATAATTTTCAAGTGTAAAATTTGTTAATCCAATTTTATTCCCGTGCAATTTTTCAGTAGGAAAATTATTTGGTGATTCATTGATATTCAATACAATGAGTACCAACAAAGTCGGAGCTGGAGATGGATTACCCAAACTTTATCCTGTTCCAAATTTCCGCCGCTATGCGGTGTATGTAATCAATAACGATCCCGGAAACCGAACTGATTTAAAACAAATGATCATTGAAACTCTCTTTGATGAGTTGGAGAATCAATCTTTTCAAAATATTCGCTTTAACGGAGCGTTTCCTGCGGACGATGAAAATATCCTCGTAGCATGTGAGAACGAAGATACTGCCAAATTCTTCATTAGCGCCATGGAGAAACTCGGACCTTCCTATTCAACTGCTCGTTACATCGAGTTCTTAGGACTCGTCCCTTGTTCAATGGTTTTGGCAGTTCCAACGCACTCAAGGTCTGAAATATTGGACATTCTCGAGACCTACAACAAGGGATTGGTTACCGAAAAGTGGGCCATCATGGAACGTTACTTCGAAGGGTCGGAGAAAGATGATAGAAAGGAAATAGTGAAAATGTGTATAGATGCTGAAAGCAAACAATTTATTGAACTTTGCGGTTCAGAACTTAATTGTGAACTATCTACTGTTCAATTTAAATTTGATGACTAAATTTCAAATTTTATCTACAATTCAAAAAGGATTTAATAAATGTTAATCTGGCGCAAACAAAAACTGTATGCATGGCTTAAAAATTATATATGTTTTTATACCCTTGAAGGGTATTACAATTTTAGTCAGAAGCTTGTAAAACAGTGATGGAGTTATTTCCGACCTTATAAACCATATATATTCTTTATCAGCATCAAACGCCCAGTCGTTCTGGCCATGTCCGCGCAAAAACTAAATTTTTGATATTTTTCCGAAAATTGAAAATTTTATAAGGGGTTACATCATTAAAATTGCCAAAATTTGACAAAAAATAGAATTTTTTATATTTAAAAACTGAGTATGCAGCTTTGTTAATCTACTAAAAACTAGCATAGAACAGCTTTCCGAATTAAAATGATTTAATTTTTGGCTTAGTTATGAGTTTTTAAAACTATGATTTTCGGAAAAAATTGTCCGTTTTTATACCTTTTTGCGGGTTTTCATAATTTTAGTAAAGAACTGGCAATAGCATCAATAAACGCAGTACGCAAATTTGTTAGTGCAATTAAAACTAGCACAGAAAACCTTTCCGAATTAAAATTATTCAATTTTGGCCTAATTATGATGTCCGAAAAACTTTGATTTTTCTCAAAAACGTTCTGTTTTTATAGCTTTTTGAAGAATATAATATAAGTCAGAAGCTTGAAACGTAATGAAGGAGTCATTTCCGCCCTATAAACCATATATATTCTTGATCAGCATCAAACGCCCAGTCGTTCTGGCCATGTCCGCGAAAAACCTAAATTTTTGACATTTTTCCGAAAATTGAAAATTTTATAAGGGGTTACATCATTAAAATAGCCAAAATTTGACAAAAAATTGAATTTTTTAAATTTAAAAACTGAGTATGCAGCTTTGTTAATCTATTAAATATTAGCATAGAACAGCTTTCCGAATTAAAATTAATGAACTTTTGGCATAGTTATGAGTTTTTAAAACTATGATTTTCGGAAAAAATTGTCCGTTTTTATACCTTTTTGCGGGTTTTCATAATTTTAGTAAAGAACTGGCAATAGCATCAATAAACGCAGTACGCAAATTTGTTAGTGCAATTAAAACTAGCACAGAAAACCTTTCCGAATTAAAATGAATTCAATTTTGGCCTAATTATGATGTCCGAAAAACTTTGATTTTTCTCAAAAATGTTCTGTTTTTATACCTTTTTGAAGAATATAATATAAGTCAGAAGCTTGAAACGTAATGAAGGAGTCATTTCCGACCCTATAAACCATATATATTCTGAACTGGCAATAGCATCAATAAACGCAGTACGCAAATTTGTTAGTGCAATTAAAACTAGCACAGAAAACCTTTCCGAATTAAAATGAATTCAATTTTGGCCTAATTATGATGTCCGAAAAACTTTGATTTTTCTCAAAAACGTTCTGTTTTTATAGCTTTTTGAAGAATATAATATAAGTCAGAAGCTTGAAACGTAATGAAGGAGTCATTTCCGCCCTATAAACCATATATATTCTTGATCAGCATCAAACGCCCAGTCGTTCTGGCCATGTCCGCGAAAAACCTAAATTTTTGACATTTTTCCGAAAATTGAAAATTTTATAAGGGGTTACATCATTAAAATAGCCAAAATTTGACAAAAAATTGAATTTTTTAAATTTAAAAACTGAGTATGCAGCTTTGTTAATCTATTAAATATTAGCATAGAACAGCTTTCCGAATTAAAATTAATGAACTTTTGGCATAGTTATGAGTTTTTAAAACTATGATTTTCGGAAAAAATTGTCCGTTTTTATACCTTTTTGCGGGTTTTCATAATTTTAGTAAAGAACTGGCAATAGCATCAATAAACGCAGTACGCAAATTTGTTAGTGCAATTAAAACTAGCACAGAAAACCTTTCCGAATTAAAATTAATTCAATTTTGGCCTAATAATGATGTTCGAAAAACTTTGGTTTTTCTCAAAAATGTTCTGTTTTTATACCTTTTTGAAGAATATAATATAAGTCAGAAGCTTGAAACGTAATGAAGGAGTCATTTCCGACCCTATAAAGCATATATATTCTTGATCAGCATCAACAGCCCAGTCTTTCTAGCCATGTCTGGTCAAAAAATAAATTTTTGACACTTTTCCGAAAATTGATAATTTTATAAGGGGTTACATCATTAAAATTGCCAAAATTTGAGAAAAAATTGAATTTTTTAAATTTAAAAACTGAGTATGCAGCTTTGTTAATCTATTAAATATTAGCATAGAACAGCTTTCCGAATTAAAATTAATGAACTTTTGGCATAGTTATGAGTATTTAAAACTATGATTTTCGGAAAAAATTGTCCGTTTTTATACCTTTTTGCGGGTTTTCATAATTTTAGTAAAGAACTGGCAATAGCATCAATAAACGCAGTACGCCAATTTGTTAGTGCAATTAAAACTAGCACAGAAAAACTTTCCGAATTAATATGAATTCAATTTTGGCCTAATTATGATGTCCGAAAAACTTTGATTTTTCTCAAAAATGTTCTGTTTTTATACCTTTTTGAAGAATATAATATAAGTCAGAAGCTTGAAACGTAATGAAGGAGTCATTTCCGACCCTATAAACCATATATATTCTTGATCAGCATCAAACGCCCAGTCGTTCTGGCCACGTCCGCGCAAAAACTAAATTTTTGACATTTTTCCGAAAATTGAAAATTTTATAAGGGGTTACATCATTAAAATTGACAAAATTTGAGAAAAAATTGAATTTTTTAAATTTAAAAACTGAGTATGCAGCTTTGTTAATCTATTAAATATTAGCATAGAACAGCTTTCCGAATTAAAATTAATGAACTTTTGGCATAGTTATGAGTTTTTAAAACTATGATTTTCGGAAAAAATTGTCCGTTTTTATACCTTTTTGCGGGTTTTCATAATTTTAGTAAAGAACTGGCAATAGCATCAATAAACGCAGTACGCAAATTTGTTAGTGCAATTAAAACTAGCACAGAAAACCTTTCCGAATTAAAATGAATTCAATTTTGGCCTAATTATGATGTCCGAAAAACTTTGATTTTTCTCAAAAACGTTCTGTTTTTATAGCTTTTTGAAGAATATAATATAAGTCAGAAGCTTGAAACGTAATGAAGGAGTCATTTCCGCCCTATAAACCATATATATTCTTGATCAGCATCAAACGCCCAGTCGTTCTGGCCATGTCCGCGAAAAACCTAAATTTTTGACATTTTTCCGAAAATTGAAAATTTTATAAGGGGTTACATCATTAAAATAGCCAAAATTTGACAAAAAATTGAATTTTTTAAATTTAAAAACTGAGTATGCAGCTTTGTTAATCTATTAAATATTAGCATAGAACAGCTTTCCGAATTAAAATTAATGAACTTTTGGCATAGTTATGAGTTTTTAAAACTATGATTTTCGGAAAAAATTGTCCGTTTTTATACCTTTTTGCGGGTTTTCATAATTTTAGTAAAGAACTGGCAATAGCATCAATAAACGCAGTACGCAAATTTGTTAGTGCAATTAAAACTAGCACAGAAAACCTTTCCGAATTAAAATGAATTCAATTTTGGCCTAATTATGATGTCCGAAAAACTTTGATTTTTCTCAAAAATGTTCTGTTTTTATACCTTTTTGAAGAATATAATATAAGTCAGAAGCTTGAAACGTAATGAAGGAGTCATTTCCGCCCTATAAACCATATATATTCTTGATCAGCATCAAACGCCCAGTCGTTCTGGCCATGTCCGCGAAAAACCTAAATTTTTGACATTTTTCCGAAAATTGAAAATTTTATAAGGGGTTACATCATTAAAATAGCCAAAATTTGACAAAAAATTGAATATTTTATATTTAAAAACTGAGTATGCAGCTTTGTTAATCTATTAAATATTAGCAAAGAACAGCTTTCCGAATTAAAATTAATGAACTTTTGGCATAGTTATGAGTTTTTAAAACTATGATTTTCGGAAAAAATTGTCAGTTTTTATACCTTTTTGCGGGTTTTCATAATTTTAGTAAAGAACTGGCAATAGCATCAATAAACGCAGTACGCAAATTTGTTAGTGCAATTAAAACTAGCACAGAAAACCTTTCCGAATTAAAATGAATTCAATTTTGGCCTAATTATGATGTCCGAAAAACTTTGATTTTTCTCAAAAATGTTCTGTTTTTATACCTTTTTGAAGAATATAATATAAGTCAGAAGCTTGAAACGTAATGAAGGAGTCATTTCCGACCCTATAAACCATACATATTCTTGATCAGCATCAACAGCCTAGTCTTTCTAGCCATGTCTGGTCAAAAAATAAATTTTTGACACTTTTCCGAAAATTGATAATTTTATAAGGGGGATAGATACATCATTAAAATTGCCACAATTTGACAAAAAATTTAATATTTTAAATTTAAAAACTGAGTATGCAGCTTTGTTAATCTATTAAATATTAGCATAGAACAGCTTTCCGAATTAAAATTAATGAACTTTTGGCATAGTTATGAGTTTTTAAAACTATGATTTTCGGAAAAAATTGTCCGTTTTTATACCTTTTTGCGGGTTTTCATAATTTTAGTAAAGAACTGGCAATAGCATCAATAAACGCAGTACGCAAATTTGTTAGTGCAATTAAAACTAGCACAGAAAACCTTTCCGAATTAAAATGAATTCAATTTTGGCCTAATTATGATGTCCGAAAAACTTTGATTTTTCTCAAAAATGTTCTGTTTTTATACCTTTTTGAAGAATATAATATAAGTCAGAAGCTTGAAACGTAATGAAGGAGTCATTTCCGACCCTATAAACCATATATATTCTGAACTGGCAATAGCATCAATAAACGCAGTACGCAAATTTGTTAGTGCAATTAAAACTAGCACAGAAAACCTTTCCGAATTAAAATGAATTCAATTTTGGCCTAATTATGATGTCCGAAAAACTTTGATTTTTCTCAAAAATGTTCTGTTTTTATACCTTTTTGAAGAATATAATATAAGTCAGAAGCTTGAAACGTAATGAAGGAGTCATTTCCGACCCTATAAACCATACATATTCTTGATCAGCATCAACAGCCCAGTCTTTCTAGCCATGTCTGGTCAAAAAATAAATTTTTGACACTTTTCCGAAAATTGATAATTTTATAAGGGGTTACATCATTAAAATTGCCAAAAACTGACAAAAAATTGAATTTTTTAAATTCCAAAACTGAGTATGCAGCTTTGTTAATCTATTAAAAATTAGCATAGAACAGCTTTCCGAATTAAAATTAATGATTTTTTGGCTTAGTTGTGCGTTTTTAAAACTATGATTTGTGGGGAAAAATGGTCTGTTTTTATACCTTTTTGCAGGGCTTTATAATTTCAGACAGAAACTAAAAATAGAATCAACAAACGCAGTACGCAGATTTAATAGTGCAATAAAATCTAGCACAGAAAAGCTTTCCGAATTAAAATTAATGCAATTTCGGCTTAATTATGATGTCCGAAAAACTTAGATTTTTCAAGAAAATTGTCTGTTTTTATACCTTTTTGCTGGTTATAATTTAAGTCAGAAGCTTGTACCGCTGTGAAGGAATTATGTCCGACCCTACAAACTATATATATTTTTGATCAGCATCAAAAGCTGAGTCGATCTAGTCATGTCCGGTAGAAAAATAAATTTTTGAAATTTTTTTTGAAAATTGCAAATTTTATAAGGGGTCATCATTAAAATTGCCAATTAGCCTTTAGTTTCCAACAAACCGCTAGCTTTATATAAATAAATAAATAAATAATCTACTAAAAACAAGCATAGAACAGCATTCCGAACTAAAATTAATGATATTTTGGCTTAGTTCTGAGATTTGTAAACTATGATTTTTTTTTGGAAAAATTGTCTGTTTTTATACCCCTTTGCAGGGTTTTATTATTTAAGTAAGAAACAAACGCAGTATGCAGAATTGTTAGTGATATAAAAACTTGCACAGAAAAGCTTTCCGAATCAAAATTAATGCTATTTTGGCTTAATTATGATGTTTGGAAAACTCAGATTATTTAAGAAAATTGTCTGTTTTTATACCTTTTTGCAGAGTAAAGCTTCAGACAGAAGATTAAAACGCAGTGAAGGAGTCTTTTCCGACCCTATAAACCATATATATGTATTCTTGATCAGCACCAATAGCCCAGTCGATCTAGCCATGTTTGGTCAAAAATAAATTTTTTACATTTTTTCGAAAATTGAAAATTTTATAAGGGGTTACATCATTAAAATTGCCAAAATTTGACAAAAAATTTAATTTTTTAAATTTGAAAACTGAGTATGCAGCTTTGTTAATCTGCTAAACACTAACATAGAACCGCTTTCCGAATTAAAATGAATTATTTTTTGGCTTAGTTATGAGTTTTTTTAAACTATGATTTTTGGGAAAAATTGTCTGTTTTTATACCTTTTTGCTGGTTTTTATAATTTCAGTCAGAAACTTATAGCAGCATCAACAAACGCAGTATGCAGATTTGTTAGTGCTATAAAAACTTGCACAGAAAAGTTATCCGAATCAATATTAATATCAATAAAACTCAGATTATTTAAGAAAATTGTCTGTTTTTATACCGTTTTGCAGAGTATAGCTTCAGTCCGAAGATTAAAACGCAGTGAAGGAGTCATTTCCGACCCTAAAAATTATATATGTGTATTCTTGATCAGCATAAACAACCGACTCAATCTTGCCATGTACGGTCGAAAAATAAATTTTCGAAATTTGAAAATTTTATAAGGGGTTACATTGTTAAAATTTTCAAAAATAGATAAAAATTTTAATTTTGAAGTTAGTAAGCTTATTTATTAACACAATAAAAACTAGCACAGGAGCGTTTTCCAAATTAAAGTTAATGACTTTTTTTAGTTATGAGATTTTAAAAACTTTGATTTGTCAAACAAATTGTCATATAAAAAAATAGATAAATAACGATTCAAAGAACCAAAAAATTTTAAGCTTAGTTGCGCTCGATTTCCAATTGAATCCTATAATTCAATTAAAAATAAACCTACATTGCTTAAAGTTAGTTTAATTAGAGGGCATAACCTAAACTCCGCAGCAATGTTTTGCACCGTTTTATCCATGCCTTGAACCCAGAACGCTAAAACAATCGATAGTTTTTTTTTTTTGAAATTTAGGTTACGTCTCGAAATGTGTGCATGTTTCTTTAACCTTTTATGAACTTTTATAAAAGTAAATTTATAATAAAATTATAATTAATACGATTAAGGTCTGTGAAAATATACTCAATATAATTTTTATCTTCGTGACAAATCGATAAGGCCCCGATGTGCTATGCGATTTTCTTATCAACGCGTTATCGACGTTTTTCCAACCCTAAGTCACACTGTTGACAAAAATCTAGGCCGGATTGAGCAGAATCTTCAAAAGTTATTTTATGAGATTGGCCATAGGATATCGGGAAGCAGGCAGTGACTAGAAGAAGACACTAAACCTTGCGCTATCATTACACCGTAATATCCCGCAGCGGGAGCAGCTTGAACCGCCATGTCCGCGTTCACTGAGTCGGCGCTCCTCAAGAAGCTGGCGGAGCTGAACAGCAGCCAGCAGAGCATCCAGACGCTGTCCTTGTGGCTGATTCACCATCGCAAGCATAGTGCGGCAATCGTGAAGACCTGGCAGCGGGAGCTGGAGAACGGTAAGTTGTGATATCTGTAGTGTTCCCCGCACCGGTTACTCATCCCACCTCCTGCCCACCCGTTACGTAGTGTCGGAGCCCATGAAGAAGCTTACGTTCATGTATCTAGCCAACGATGTCATTCAGAACAGCAAGAAGAAGGGGCCGGAGTACGGCAAGGAATTTAGCCATGTGCTTGCCAAAGTCTTCACCCACATAGGCGAGAAATGCAGTACGGAAAAGCTGCTCGGTAGCTTGGGCCGTATCCTCACCATCTGGCTGGAGCGGGGTGTTTACGATCCCAAGGTAATAGCCGATTGGCGGTCGCGCCTTAACCGGGAAGGAAGCAGCAGCGGCAGCAGCAATGGTGGCAAGTCCAATGGAGAATCACACAAAACGGAGACAAAGGAGTCCAAGAGGGAGGAGAAATCAGAGCGACGCGAGAAGCGTAAGCATGAGGATCGTCACTCCAAGTCAAAGCGTCAACGGCATCATCACCAGAGCAGCAGTGGTAGCTCCTCCAATAATGCCTCAGTTGCTGTGGATGACGACGTCGTTGCGGAGCAGCAGGAGAACGGACACACGCCACCATACCTGCCACTGGGTGAACCACCAGAGCCCGAGGAGCTAATCAAGGCCCTAACCAGTATCGAGAACTCCGCCTCCAGCGATGCGGTGGTTCGCGAGCGGATTGCCAAGCTGCCCCAGGAAATATCAGAGATTAGCTGCATCAGCAAATTGGAGGATAAGGATAAGGCCAAGGCTCTGGCCCTGCAGGTACGTAGAATGCATATCCTGATTGCCAATCTTAATGCCTTTGAAAATAACTGACTTTACACCTCTAAACACCTATCCCCGTGCAGGTCAACGAAGCTGTGGATCTGCTCAACGAATATAATGCTCGACTAGCGGCCGAAATGGAGGAACGAACAAAACTGGCCACCATGCTACGTGACTTTCAGGCAGAGCAGAAGGAGCTGCTGTCACAGGCAGAGCAACGCCTCGATGTATGTTTAGCATGGCACATATGTGGGGTTATTACTTAAAATGTCCTAAGCTCACTCCCTTCTTGTCAATGAGGAGACCACCTCCTATGGCCTTTGCCTTGTCTGCCTCTGTGTTATTAGTATTTAGTTATTTATTTTGTTCATTAAAAACTCAAAATCAAATTAAATAGAATCGAAATTTAATTTCTTGTTTCCTTTGCAGGAACACAAGAAGAAGCTGGCCAAGATGCTGGGTCTGCAGAAGGAGATACACGACCATCTCTCCAACCTGCCCGATCTGACACAACTGCCGGATGTGACCGGTGGGCTGGCGCCCCTGCCCTCCGCTGGCGATCTCTTCAACGCCTTGCACTGATAACAGCCGCGGAAGCAGGAGCTACCTAAAGTCAACCCTAGAGTTTATAAAATTATACATATATATTTGCAATTGTCCCCCGTATACACACCCTGTCCTATGCCCACATTTACTAATTGTAATCCCACAAACACACGCATGACTCCCACTAATGACGGTTAAATAGAGCATATAATCGCAAGCAATAACTCAAAATATAGAATCAAATTGGGAGTCAAATTAGTGCATCACATAATTGGCTACCCCCTGCCACTTTTCAGTGAAGGATATGATGTCGGAGACGCCGCTGCCCGGGGACATCTTTACGGCCACCGAGAACTTGCTCCACACATCGCGATTCACTTGGTTGTTAGACGCCTGGAAGGTGACTGGGTGGCGACCCAATACAGGGAATCCACTAAGCATGCAGGGCAAGTCGTTGGTCCCCAAGCTGGACTCGTACAGGCCACGCTCATCGGTGGGCAGCTGCTGGTCTACCTGCTGATCCATGCTCACGGCGAGCACCCATTCGCGCACCTCTTCGTGGAGATTCGGATCGTTCTTCAAGTGTATGTCCTCCGGCAAGGGCACGGAGCTGGGAAAATCGGTGCTAGCCAGATCGGAATGGTCCACTAACTGGCCAGAGCCCTCTTCAATGGCCTCGCATACGTCCAGGTAGTGATTTAGCATGACAAATGCCTCGGATTCGCGACCTGCCTGGCGTAAATCCATCCCAGCTTCGTAGAAACCTTTATCCACCGGCAGCAGATCAGTGTGCCGAAGGAGGGCCAAGGATAATCTTAAAGCCACCGGCTGGAGGGACTGCACCTCCTTGCACACAGCTCTGATGGCGTAGTAATGGGAAATCAACAGGAACTGCTCCATGCTGCTGGTAAATTGAGATTGAGCCTGCTCCGGCAAAGCCTTAAGAGATTGCAGCAGCCGAAAGAGAAAGTCCCTGAGCTGACGCCACAGAGTGCCACCTTCCGACTGCTCCTCCCTCAGAGCCAGGCAATCCAAAGCGATTCTGGTATAGATATTGAAATGAGCCTCAATCGGCGGAGCTCCGTAGCTCAAGTAGAGACCTAAGGCGGTGCTGGAGTTTCCCTCTCGGATGAGCTGCGCGGCATAAACCGCCACATACTTTTGGAGCACGTCGGGATTCAGCTGCTTGGCCTTCTCCAGGCAACGCTGCCACTGACCCTGTTCCGCCAGGAGATCCAGAGCGGAAACTATGTCTATGTCCGCCAGCTGCTCGATGTTGCCCTCGTGCTTCAGGCACGACTTTTGCTGTTGCTCCACGTAGGCCAAAAGCTGAAGATCGGGATCTATTTCCTTGGCCAGCCGCCGGGCCTTGCTCCACTGCTCCGTCTTGATGAACACATCCACCGCTTGCTTGGGCATATCAGCAGCCAGATAAAGCTGTGCCGCCGGTCCAATCTGTTTGATGGCCAGCAAACGAGGTCCCAGTGACTGGGCCAACTCCTGGGCATCCTGACCCTCCAGGAATTGATTGCATATCTCGGCAGCTCGCAGGAGTGCTCGCTCCAAAGTGGCTGCATCCTCGGCATTGGTGGAATCGATCTGCATGAGGCATTCCGCTGCCTTGCGAAACTGCTCCTTCTTGGCAAACTCGGCAGCCTTCTGGAGATAGGCACGTGAAATGGAGGCGGAATCCTCGCCAGCCTGGGCCTGAGCCTGAGCTCCCCGTTGGAGCTGGGCCTGCAGACGTCTCAAGTCATTTAGGGCCGCTGGATAATGTTCCTCGGCAATGCGTAGGGCATCTTCGTAGAGGGATTCCTGCTTGTAGTGCTCCACAATTAAGTCCGGCCTCTGGGCTCGCAAAAGGAGCGCTTCATAGTCCTTGTAGTTACGGGTCTCCAAGGCGGATGAAGCCTGTCCTATCAACACCTCACCCACTGCGTCTGGTAGATGCATTTCGGCCACATTGAGGGCCGCCTGCCAGTCCCCGGCATGTTGATACATCAATATGGCCTCCCGGGGCTTGTGGGCCTTGAGGAATTCTGCCTCCGCCGCCTCGAATTTACCCTCATCCTCCAGGGACATGGCAATCTTCAGGTGAACCTCATCAGTGGGTTTGCCCGCGAAGCGGCACAGCTCCATGGCGAACTCAAACTGTCCCGAGTCACAGGCGAAGCCCACTGCTGTGTCCAGGAGGCCCAGCTTGCTCAGCAGCCGCACGGCACTCTCCGTGGGCATGGACTTGGCCCACATGTAGGCCACCTGTTGGCTGGCTCCCTCGGTTCCCTTCTGTTTGGCCACGCGATAGCCATCCTCCCAGCGACCCGACGAGCAGTACATGTGTACGGCGGATTTCCAGTCTCCTGAGGCCACAAAATGCATCTCCGCGTTCTTGAGTTTGCCACGCGACTCCAGCTGACGCGCCAGATGGAGATGGGTGCTGTCCAGCAGATCCTTGTGGTGGCGCTCCACTAGCCGTATCATGGAGTCGTAGAGCTCTCTGCGCTTGTACATGGCTATGGCCAGATCTGGTTCGTTGACGGCAATCAGGACCTTCTCAGCGTCCCTGTACTTGCCCTGTTCCTCCAGAGTGACGGCCTGCTGCACGAAAAGTTCCCGGAGCTGCTCTGACTTTAAATACTTCTCACCGATCACATAGGCTCGCTCCCACTTGCCGTGCCGGTTCAGTAGCTCGATAGCTTCCTTGTGAAGATTGGCTCGCACCAGCATATCCTCCGCTCCATCCAGATCTCCGGCAAAAGCTAAATGCTTGGCAAGATCTACGGCATAGCGCTGAATGAGTTCCGGTTCGTCCAGAACCTTGGCTATTTGGACTGCCTTACGCCATTGCTTGGCACCCACGGCGGCCTCTAGAGCTTTTTGCGTGGCACCAGCCTCTATGTAGTGGTTGATGGAGGCGTCCAGCTGCTTGCGGCTCACCAGCCAGTCTCCCCACTCCTCCTCCAGGGAAGTTACCTCCTGCGGCGCAACCACGCGCCCCAGTTCCAGGGCTCTGGCATAGGCTCCTCCTTTGCGGTAGAGAGCCAAAGCTGCCTCTGGACGGGACAAACGATGGGCTATGTCACCGGCCAATTCGAATAGCTCGCAGTGAACCAGTCCCTCGGTGACCTGCAGCATTACCTGCTCGTCCTGCAGTATATGCGGCGTCTTAAGAGCCAATCGAGCAGCTCTGGCTGGCTTGTTTGCCTTCAGGAACAGCGACATGGCCTGCTGGAGATCTCCCTGTTCCTCAAGAACTTGGCCAGCTTTCTCCTGCTGCTCACTGCTCAGCAGGTAGTCCATGTGCTGCTGCTTCAGCTCCGAGATCTTGGCATAGCCTCGTCTCTCTGCCAGAGCCACGGCTTCGTCCCACATGCCAAGTTGCTGGTACATCTGTAGAGCAGCCTCGATGTCGCCCTGTTCCAGGTATATTCGTTCAGCCGTTCGTAGATCAGAGCCCAGAAGAGCCATCTTGGCACGAACCTGGGGACAGAGTATTCCTGGTGAACCAGTTGACTCCTCAAACTCGTCTGCCTGCTGGATCATTTCAGCTAGATAAAAGGCCTTGGACACGTTACCCAAGGCGGCGTAACAACGTTGGGCCACGCGCAGGTTGCCATCCTCCAGGGATATAATGGCCAGATTATGCCACATTGCCTTGGCAGCGGGCTTGTCGCCTAGCGATTCTAGAAAATGAACAGCTCGTCCGAAGTCACTATCATTGACAGCAGTTCCAAACTCCACCAGGCCCTCATCCAGCTGGTAGCTGTGCTCACTGGGTCCATCCTGGGAACGAACCACAGTGCGACCCTGAAAAGGAATTCAGATGTGATTTATAAACCGAAATGCTCACTCCTTATTCTGATTTACTTACATTCTCGCGCAGCACTTCGATGGCCTCACCGCGAACACTCTGCAGGGTGACATGTTCGGGCAGATCAATGTTGTACCAAATAGCCAGGTTGGTATGACTCTGGGCCACCACAACGTCACTCTGGGGCACCCACTGGACAAAGGATATGTTGCTCAATAGGCTCTGCTTCTTGCCCGTGTAATTATCAACCAGGATAAGACGCAGCTTCTTGTCGCGGAACAGCAACTTGTGAGCCGTCTCGCTCAGTTCCAGCCAGTCGATCTTTGTCTCGTGATTGATCTGACCACTGGTCAAGCGACTCACCAAATCCACCACGCAAATGGTCTTGGCATCCAGGAGAAAGGCCAGCTTCTTATTCTCCCGTCCGTTTCCTCGCTCATTAAGACGCACGGAGATCACGTGCGGATTTACAAATTCGGTGCGGACGGATCCCAGAATGGCATTGTCACCGTATTCCACCAGACTTAGTTCGCCAACATTAAAGACCAGGCATACGTTCGGATTCTCAAAGTAGAAGCGCTCATGGTGACCGGAGGCGGTCCAGGGAACTTCGCTGCTCAGGTTGCGGGTCAGGTCGCAGAGTATTAGAGATTCCTCCGTGCGGGCTACTAGATAATTATCCCGTCCCATTATCCTCACATCATCAATCTCCAAGCCAAGCTGCGATTCGATGGTCATCTGCTGCGTGGGCTCTGTCAGGGATCGCACCAAAAGCTGACTGGGTGCCACGAATATTAACTCGAACTTGTCCTGCCACACGGTGCGTCGCAACACGGACTCAAAGAGAAGCACTGCTCCGCTGACGGAGCCCAAAGCCAGGCGGGCTCCATCTCGACGCCACAAAAGCGAGCTTAGGGTATACAAGCAGGCTACCTCCTTGCTGGCACTCTCGCTCCAAGCTCCCTGACGTGGACTCCAGGCAAAGATGCGTATGCGATCGAAGCTGCCGAAGGCCACCGCCTGGCCATTAGGACTACAGGCGGCCACCGTGAACTCCCGCTCGCCCTCGGTTCGTGAATGATCAAAGGTGCGCAGCTGACGGCCCTGTAAAATAATTATTTTTATTAATTACATATGCAAATAAAGCATAAAAAAGTATCTAAACCAACCATGCTATCGTAGAAGATGATCCTTTGATCGCAACCGCCGGCACAGAATCCGCCCTGTGGCCAGGCCAAGGCAAAGGGCGGAACCGGATGCTGCACCACTCGGCCCAGTGGCTCGGTGGCCTCATCCGTCATAAAGTAGCGGATGATGGTGCCATCGTTGTGGCCACTGAGGAAGCCAGTGCCCTTGGTATTAGCGGCCAGAGAGATGCAGATACTGTCGCCGCCATACAGACTCTGCGACTTG